GGTCCCAGTTTTTGTTTCTTTGTCCGGGTTTATATACGCTTTCGGGTGGCCAAGAGCCTCAGCGCCTCCACACCGCTCAGGCCCAGCAGCCCAGGAAGGTCACCGCCCCCGCCATCTTGTGAGCTCTGAATGGTACCCGGTAAACGGGTCAATCTATGATATGTGAATTATAACTCAATAAAGCTGTTACCAAACAAAAAACATAAAAAGGGAACCCAAGGTTACTACTGGGTGCCAGGACATCTGGTACCTCAAGATAGCCCAGCTGTGGTTTTGATCCCCTGGACTCTCCCCCTTGTCATCTGATCCCTCTCTCCACATTACCTGGAAGGAAGAGCTGCTATTCCTGTCCCTCAGTCCTTGTCCTAGGCCTCGTTTTTCTCTCAAACTGTGGGCTGGGGCTGGGTGAGACCAGTTGCATGACTACAGCCCCTTTGGACAGTCTTGGCCCCACTCTCTGGCCAGCCCATGTGGGAAGGCAACCCTGGGCATCTCAGAGCCCGACTGCCAAGGGGTTCTGAGCTAACCCAAAGCAGAGTGTAGACAGTGCCCCTACTCACCAGCATCCATCTGGCTCCTCAGAGCCACAAATTGAGTTGGGTCAGTTCCGAGGGAGGCTGTTAATGATAGGCCTTGCCTTTGTTTGGGATCTGAATTCTGGGGTCCTGACCCAGGATCACAGGAATAGGGGCCAAAGGCACTTTGGAGTCTCAGTACCCCCAATCCAATCCTTGGATTTTATAATGGGATTGAGGCAGTGGAAAGAGAGAGCCCTGTGTGTGCCCATCCACCAGTACCTGCCAAGCAACCCCCCAGCCCAAGGGGTGCTCCCAGCCCTCTGTGCAAGGGAGAAGACGCCTAAATCTTGTAACTGCATGAATTCCCAGTGCTGCAGAAGAACCAATGAGAAGCAGAAGTTCCCTGCGTGCAGGAGTCATGGGCGGTGGGAGAAGAGCCAGCAGGCACCCCACAGTGGCTAGGCATCAGAGCTGGGGTGGAGAGCCAGTTCCGCCACTTTCCAGCTGAGTGAGCTTGCTTAGGCTGCTTAAACCCTGCCAGCCTCAGTTTCCTTGCCTGTCCGGGCCAGGAGGGATAGGAAGATAAACGGGTGGGTAGGAAGAAGAGGGGAGTGCCGACAAGAAGCTACACCTATGTATCTCGTCCTCTCCCCCCTCCCTGCCCCCGACTTAGCTTCTCCAAGCCCTCATGGGATCCCCAGGGGTTAGTCCTTGAGAAAAGAAAGTCACAAAAGAGATTGGAGAAACCCTAGGTGGGAATAGGCACGAGAATGATGGGCAAGCTCCCCTCCCGGCTGGAGAACTTCAAGGCTTGGCAGTCCCCGTGCGGGCACCTGGAAACCTTCTGCCCACCCCCTAGGTCCTTGCTCTGCGGCAGGCTTCAGATATGCAATCTGATGGCATCAGTCTCTCTGTGCCAAAAAAAAAAACCAAAACATGCACACACACTCCTAAAATCCCAGCAGGTTCAATCCAACAGGGAAGTATTCCACCTGTGAGTATTAATCTTCGAGCACTGTTGGTCAAGTGTGTGGACTGGCATTCCGTACCGAGTAGACATGCGGCAGCTTGGCACAGAGCCTGGGACGTCCGGAGGCGGACCTTTGTGGCATTTTAAGGACAGGCAAAGGATGACCTTCCTGGAGGGCCACTGGTGGGCTACTTACTCTGAATCTGGGGGAAGGGTAGCCAGGCTGAGGGATACAGTTGTGGGATTTGAATCTCAGATCTATGACGAACAACACATCCCCCACCCGCTGCAGCAGCTCAAGCTGGTCAGCTAGGGGTGACTTTTGCCGGGGGGGGGGGGGGGGCCGATGTTGTGAGTGGGGAGGGAGGGTCCTGGGGAAATCAGGAGGCTGAGACGGGAGCCACTGAGATTGCTGACTCGGGGCAAGCTGGCCAGGGTTGTGGGGTGGGGCTGGGGGCTGAGATCCTGCACAGCCTGCTGCAAAATGCCATCTCCAAACAAAATCACGTGGTGTACACACGCTTGCACATGGTTGTGTGAGCCGGGAGAAGGGTGTGGAAGAACATACCCGTGTTACCCTTGGTCACGTGGGGCTGGGAGGAGATGGGCAAGGAAAGGGGCTGGAGCAGATGTAACGATGCACTTTGCATACCTTTGTAGTAACTCACTGCATTTGTTACAACTGGTATGATTTGAAAGATAGCAAATGAAGTACAAAAAATTAATCATTTACTACTCCTTTCTGTCCCTCCCTCCCCACAGTGGCCTTTTGCTTCCAGCCAGCAAATCCAGAGAGAAAACCAACCTGCTGCTGTTGGCAGTAACAAACGCCCGGGAGGTAACTTACGTTGGGGTCTTCTGCGTGCTGGGCACCATGCATACGTCAGGCACACATCCTCGTTGAACTTTCTCCACCTGCAGTAGGGTTAGTACTTCATATTATAGATGAAAGATTTCGGCTTAGGTAGGCGGAGTAACTTAATGAAGTAAATAGTACGGTTCACATATTGGCTGAAGACCCAGGAGGAAACAGAATTCCCTTCAAAAGGGTTTAGCTCAGGAGAACTTCTTTTTCTTTTTCTTTATTTTTTTAAGATTTTATTTGAGACAGAGAGCGTGCGCACAAGTTGGGGCAGGGGGGCGTAGAACAAAGGGAGAAGGAGAAGCAGACTCCCTACTGAACAGGGAGCCCGACGCAGGGCTCGACCCCAGGACCCTGAGATCATGACCTGAGCTGAGCTGAAAGTAGACGCTTCATCGACTGAGCCACCCAGGTGCTCCTAGCTCGGGAGAACTTAAAGAAGGGACTATTTACAGACCGGCAGACTCAGTGGTAAGAGAATTCCTGAGGGATGTTGAAGACCCGGGACTAACAATAGCGGGAAGCCAGCACCACCCCGGGGGGCGGGCGGGACAGAGAGGCCCAACAATGGGTGGGCAGAGAGGACAAGGGGAAGGAATACCAAGGGAGCCCAGGTGAGCAGAAGGAGGGAAAAAATACCCCCAACCACTCTCCTCTCCTGCCTTCTGCCTCTCATTGGCTGACCCAACAGGAAGCCAGGGGGTTTGCTGTCTGTAGGGGCTGGGAGGGGGGAGAATGAACGGGAGTGGGGAGAATGAATGGGAGGGGGGAGAATGAACGGGAGGGAGGAGAAATGCAGAACCACCAGCGCAGACGGTGAATGTGGAGCAGGAGCTGAACTCAGAACTCAGGGACTCTGAACCCTGGAGTCCTTCTGCTGCCCACACATCCCCCCGGCTCCCACACAGCACTCTGTATGTGGGGCCATGCTGCCAAGTAAGGACTCAAGCCCGAGTCTTTCCTGCTTTCTCTAGCCAGAATGCCCTCTTCTAAAGAATGGGCTAGGTGTTGGTAGGGATAGCCGCATCTGGCAGAGAAATGTGAGGCCTGTATTCCAAGCCTGACACTTGTGTGCATCCATGATCCCATGCTCACACTCCTCCTCTGCCAGGGACCCCATTCCCCCTTCCCTTGGCCTTCCCGGGGGCATTCCACGAAGGACCATGTTTCATTTATTGCTATATCCCTGTATCTGGCTCAATGCCTGGCACAAAAGAGACTCACAGTAATCGCTCACGGTGGAACTCAAATGTCTCTCCAAACTCCCTTTCCTTGGGGCCTTGGGTTTTTATTTCATAGAGTGAGTTTTCCAGAAGCTTCTCTACCTTCTCTTGAAGATAAAGAATGTGCTCTTTCTAGCCACTGATTCACCTGAGCTTCACAAAACACTTTATAGGGGGGTGCTATCAGAGCGATAGGTCACAGCTAAGAAAAATTAGCCACTGGAAGTTAAATGACTTGCCTGAGGTCACCCGTAGAAAACATCGTCAGACCCAGGATTTGGTCTGGCAGCTCTCACCAGAGTCTGCTCTTAGCCTCTGCCCCACCCAGTCTCCCAGGGGACCTGCCTTATAACAGGCACCATTTTCTTCAACTCTGGTGGGATGAGAGCTGCTACTTCTGGTTTCTTCTCTGGCCTGGGGGCCCTAGCTTTGCCCTGCTCCTGGGAGCCCAGCTCCAGGCCTGCAGAAGCCAGCTCTCAGCAGTGGCTCACCCCGCCTTTCCCCTTGCTGTCAACTGCACAGGAACTTTTAGGGGTCCACTCTCTTGGGGGAGATGCTGCCCTCTCTTAGGGTGCCTGGAGAGTGGGCCGGGAGGGGAGGGGGACCTTTAGCCCCTGCCTGGGCTGGGGGGAAGGGTGCCTTCTGACTTGCTGGTTTTGACAGCTGGGAGGGAGACTGCTTTGGCAGGATTCATGGCTCCACCCTCTATGTCCCTTTGCCTGTGAGCTCGGGGGCCCATCCCCACCTCCCCCTGCTTCCCAGCTGCACTGAGGAGTTCGTGGCCAGCTTTCCTCACTTCCTCCCTTTGGCCCCCTCTGCCTGCTGAGCCCCACGCCCAACCCTGCCCCCAGTCCCTGCTGCCCACCACCCCCTCCCCCCCACCCCCATCCCCAGGCCTGACTTTAGGAACTGGAAAATGGGCTGGGAGCAGGCAGCAAAGGGAGGCCTTGGCATTTGGGGCCAAGCCTGGGGTTGGTGGGGTGGACAGGGGTGGTGAGTAGAGTCTGGGAAGGAAACACATAGGTGGACAAAGGAGGACGAAAGCAGGAGACCTTGATCTCAGCAGCCTGGAGCAGCATCTTTGCTGCAATTCGTTATTTACTGTTATTTACACACTTAGCATGTGCCAACCACTACCCTATTTATATACTCTCACTGCCAGTCTATAAAGTAGACATTAGTTTGCAAACAAACTGAGGCACAGTTAGGGGTCTGCCTAAGGACACATGGATTTGGCTAAATAGGGTTTTTAACCCAGCCCCATCCTCCTGTAAGCAAGAAAGAAGCTGAACTGGGAACCCCAGGGCAAATGGAGTAACCCCAAGGGAGTGGGGGGGGGGGAGGCAGGAAAACCAGCTGTCCCAGGGCCTCAGACTGATAAATTTGTGTTTATTGTCAGGGTCTCCACCAGGGACCATACGGCAGGAGAGGGTCCCAGCTTCCTGCCGGGTTGAGGCTGCTCCCCGGGCGCTGCCCTCTGCCACAGGGCTGGGGTCAGGACGGCGCTGGGCTCGAGGTGCCCATCGGCGAGGCGCGCGCCCCCGGGCGGGTTGACAGACTCCAGAAGCGCTCCCTGAACAAAGACCGGGTGGGAGGCGGCCTGGTGTGTCCCCTCCCCGCCTCCCCCAGCGCCTGCGGAGCTGCGACCACAGACAGCGAGGCGGAGCGAGCATGGCGGGGCCCCGGGCCGCTCCGCTGCCCCTCGTCCTGCAGCTCATCAGCCTGGCCCTGGTCTCGGCGACCGGCGGAGGTAAGTGGGGGCGCCGAAGGCTCGGGGGCGGCCCGGCGGGACCCCGTTTTCTCACTCAGCCCAGCCCCAGGGAAGGAGCTGGGGCCAGGGGGCCTCTCCCGACCTCCCGCCGCGGGGTGCGAGCGCCTCCCGGGCCAGCCTGAGTCCTCCCCGTCGGTGGAGGAGCCCGCGTGGGGGCGCGCACGGAGGCTGGGGCCTGGGGCCCGGGGCGGGGGAGGGGGGGTGCTTCCTGCAATGGCTCGGGAGGAATTCCTGCAGGCAGCGGTGGGGGAGAGGCCGCCCTGGAATCTGGGAGTCTGAAGTTAATTATTTGTCTTGAGAAAGCGGGGGGGGGGGGGGGGAGGCCCGCTATGGGAGCTGACTTTGAATCTGTGTCTGGCCTTCCGTTGGGGGGGGGGGGCAGGCAGGAATAGAGGGGTCAGTGCAAGGACTAGGCAGCTGGCTGGGGAGAGGGGAGCCGAGGACAGTTCCATGGGGAGCAATCAGGCTCTGTGAAACAATCTGGAGCTCTTTCTGCGGGTCTCTCCAGGCAAGGGACTGGCCCTGTCTTCCCGGAGGGTCCCAAAGGACCCCCACCCTCTCCCTGACTCCCTTATTGTGCTGCTGAAGTAGACCTGGAGGTGTGGCCTGAGAGGAGAGACCGTGGGGGTGGGGGTGTCAAGCTGGGACGGAGGGTTTAAGATGCTGAGCCCTCATCTTCAGCTGCCCTGCAGAGGGTGGGGAAGAGCGCCACCTACAGTAGCCCTACCGAGTTCCAGGAGACAGGATACCCGGCTAGGGAGGGAATGGGAATGTGCGCAAGAGGCTTGGGTACCGGCATTTGTTGGGGCGTTAGAACCTGGATGTGGGGAGTAGTGGGGCAGGCTGAAAAGACGGGTGGCATTTGCAAAAGGTCACATTTGGACTTGCCGCTGGGAACCTTGAGATGTGTGATTTAGAGAAGTGGTGTCAGGTGGAGGCAGGGAGGATGGCTCTGACTTCAGCCTCCTGAGTGGAGAGAGGGGAGAGGGCTGGGGACAACTGGATAAGACCAGAGGCTGATGGGTTGGGGGGGCACAAAAGAGGGAAACCGAGCCCCAGATTGATATGAGTCCGTGGGGATGGCAGCAACAAAGCCAAGGAATTCGGGCCAAAGCAGGTTTGTAAGAAAGAAGACAATTTAGGTTTCAAATGAGACTCTCCAATCCCCGCTTGGGGGAGTGGGGGTGGGGAGTGGGTGACATAGCCCCCTGCCTCACAGGACTAGTGTCTATGAGAAACCCTTTTAGCCACCCCAGACCTGGCCTCATAATTTGCTGCCTCTGTAGGGAAGACCCTCCCCTCTCCTTCCTCCTCTTCCTCCTCCAGACCCTCCTCTGCCCACCCCCACCCGGAGGAGGGATCTGGTCTATGGGAGGTCTGTGGAGTGAGCCTACACCACCACGCCCCCCCCACCCCCCCCACCCCCCGCCCACCTACGGTTTTCACTTTTCTGACTGCACCGGAGGGATTCAAATGAGGTGGAAATGGCTGTCCAACCCCAGGTCTGAACTCAGAGGAACCCCCTTCTCTAACATAGTGTCATCAAAAACCAGGGTTAGGCTGTCTTTGTTGCGCCTGGTGCCTTGAAAGCTACTGGGGGCCCTGCTGACTCCTTCCCCAAACCCTTCAAGAAATGCAGCCAAGTTCCATCTTCTGGAGCTCCCCCTGCCCAGTGTGGGGTCCTGTCTTCCAAACCCTGCAGGGAAGGAGGGTCACCCTGGGCCCCACCTCTGTCCACCTGCCCACCCCCCTTTCAGGGAAGTAGAGTTGGTCTGGGATGGTGCTGGAGGGAAAGCGTGGAAGGAGGAGAAGGGGAAAGGTGGACAAAAGGGACCCAGACCAGCTTTCCCAAGTAGCAAGGACCTCTGTCAGATACAGACTGTGAGGTCCCGATGTGGGGTCCCGCGGCCCCGCCACCGCGGGCCTGGAAATAGAGGCAAGGCTGGGGCGGGGTGGGGGTGGAGCAGAGGGAGGAGCCGCCCCGCCCCTCGCTGTGCACACGCTCGGGGAACAGCGCCCTCGCTGACGGGTGAGGACGGGCAGTTGGAGGGCCGGGGGCGCTCACATGGCCAGCTCCCTCCCCTGCACTGCAGCCCACGCTGGCCGCTCCCAGCCTGACTGGTCAGCTCCGCAGGCTCACCCTGGCCAAGACCCTGCGCACATAAAGATGGGGGACCCTGACCCGCTCCCCATGGCTGGAGGCCCCTGCAGCATATGGGAGGCTGCAGGGAGGCCCCGGCCTAGATACTCTCCCCATGGCCCCAGCAGGTCAGGGTCCTGGGGCTGATACCCGACAGAGGTCCTTGCTACTTGGGAAAGCTGGTCTGGGCCCCTTTTGTCCACCTCTTCCCTTCTCCTTCCACGCTTTCACTCCAGCACCCTCACAGACCATATCTCCTTCTCTGGAAGGTGCGTGGGCAGGTGGACAGGGGTGGGGCCCAGGGTGCCCCTCCTCCCCTGCAGTGTTTGGAAGACAGGACGCAGGAGACCTTGTCAGTCCCTCACCCACAAGCCCACCTTGGATTCTTGTCCCCTTCAGGTGGGGTCATCCTCAGGGAGCCCCCTGAGCTTGCTGACATCCACGACAACGGGCCGCAGGGGCCTGCCCTCGCCTCGGCCCCTGCTGGGGCCCTCCAGGAGCAGGGGCGCCCCCTGGAGGAACGGCTGGGAAGGCTGGAGGCCCAGATGACGACGCTCAGAGAGCAGGTAGCGCGAGAGGCCTGTGGGTGTGTGCGGGGTAGGGCAGGTCTTGCGTCCTTAGAGGAAAGAAGGGTTGGGCTGGGGGGAGGGGGGCGGGAACTGTAAAATAGAGTTTGGTTTTTAAATGCACATGGAGAAGTTCTTATATGAACGGTTCTCAATATTGACTCTTCCATACAAATGAAGAATCTCCAGAGTATTGGTTTTATCAATTTAGATGTTCATGTCCTTTCATGTATTTGGCCAACACTATGGAGCACCTATTGTACGTAAGGCCTCATCAGAAAGGATTTTGGATGGATAAAGGTCTTCGATTGTTGGGGAGAGGGGATTGGTCCGCTTCTGTCCAAAGGAGAGGTCTGGGGGCCCCGGGCTCCCCTAGGAGCCTGTCCAGACTCCAGATCTTGAGAACTGTGGCTAAACTAGGTGCTGCCTGGAAGGGACCCACCTGTGCCTGGAACAGTCAAATTGCCTTCTCGCTCTGCTCAGTCTTCACACCCCACATATCTGCCGGATGTGTCGGATGGGGCGGAGCTGAGCCAGCACCTCCTACCTTCCCCTCCGTCCTTCCCCCAGAACAAGGAGCTGCAGGCGAGGGTGAGGCGGCTGGAGTCCTGTGAATGCCGCCCCGCTTCTGCCCAGTGCTGGGGACTGGGGCGGGCCTGGCCCGAGGGTGCTCGCTGGGAGCCCGACACCTGCACAGCCTGTGTCTGCCGGGACAGGGCTGTGCACTGTGAGCCCAAGCCTGGCCTGCCCCATTGCCATGGTGAGTGCCACCCTATCTGCCTGCCAGGACCACCTGGGCACCTGGGGATGGCCTTGAGGGCCTGAGTGATGGCCTGTCTCCTCCCCAGGCTGCAGCCACAATGGTCAGGCCTATGGCCACGGGGAGACCTTCTCCCCAGACGCCTGCACCACCTGCCACTGCTTGGTGAGTTCCCATGACCCACCTGCACATCCCATACCTGTCCCCCTCACCTGCCTCACTTAAGTTACCAGTCACTGCAGCCTCGTGTGCTGGAAGTTGAGTAATAGGGTCTGCCCGCCCCTCCCCCAAAGCCTTGCCACCAGTGGCTCCAGCTGATTCCAAGTGGCTCTGTTTTCTGGAGCTCAACCCCCCACACATACACATGGTGGGGGGCCCCCAAGCCCCTCTGATTTGGGCCTGGCAAACAGTGGCATGGAGGGCAGAGGGGATGGAGCTGCTTGTCTTCCTACATCACCCCCTCACCTGTGGACCCTCCCTGTCCCTGCTCATCCGTCTGTCCCTGTCACCTACCCGCCTGGTCTCCCTCACTTGGCTCCACATCCACCTTCTTCCAGCTTTTCCCTCCTCGCTTCTCCATTGAGGAAGCTCTCGGTTCCCTTCCTAGGACCTTTCCATTCTGGGAACTTGCTGGCACGGGGAAGAGATGGTTTCTGGGGCTCCAGAGAAGCAGGAGATGATGGGGGTGGGGGTAGGATATCTCTTTTCTGCCCTCGGACTGAGGATAGCCCATGTACCCTGAGCCGCCTCTGCCTCTTGCTCCTCCACTGTGTCGCTGCGGAGGGTGAGCTTTCGGGTCCGGAGGCCAGGCCCTCAGAGTTCTGACGCCGCGCAGCCACCCGTCGGCTTCCCCACAGGGAGGGGCCATAACCTGTACCCAGAAGCTGTGCCCAAGGGGACCCTGTCCAGAGCCGGGAGCATGCTGTCCACACTGTGAGCCAGGTCAGCCCCCCACCAGACCCGGCCCCACCTCCTGCACTCATTCTGGGGGCCCCCAGAGCTACCGTGTGCCCCCCCGCCACGTGCCCAGAGGGTGCCTGCCCACTCACTCTGGCAGTGGTTCGGGGAATTCAGAACCGAAGCACCGCCCGCAAATACGGACTCTGGCCTGGGACTGAGCCAGAGCCTCTGTCTGACCTTTTTCCTGCCCTCAGGGGGCTTCTAACCTAGTTGAGAAGATAAACTGAAAGCTAATACAACACAAGATTTAAGATCCAGTGACCAGATTCGAAGAACTATAGGAGGGCAGTGTGTGGTTAGCTGCCGGAGGAGATGGTGGGAAGGCAGCGGTCTCCACTCAAGACTGTGTCGGGGCGGGTCATCTGAGCCGCACCTTCAAGGGAAAGTGATTTCAGCGGAAGGAGACAGTACTCAATGGCCCTTCGGGCACAAGAACAGGGTGGGGAGAGGTGCATTGTAGGAAATCATTCTGGAAAGGCCCAGTGGGAAGAGCCTGCTGTAAGCCTTGCAGCTTGGACTTTCTTCTGGGGGCAATGGGGAGCCACTGAAGGCTGCAGAGCCAGAATGTGGCTTGTTCAAAGGAGCGTTGTAGGAATATTCATCTGGTTTGGGCTAGATGCGAGAGACCAGGTAGTGGGCTAGCACAGTAGTCATCTAGGCATGGAGCCAGGGAGTCAGGGATGGCAGGGGCTGCAGAGGGAGGGAGGGGTGCTTCTAAAGCACAGGTGACTGGTCAGATCCCGGGGAACAGCAGGAAGCTAGGAAGGCCGTGGTGCCAGGGCTGTGAAGAGAAGTGGGAGGAGATGGACGCAGTGGCCCTGCTGAGGGATGTCACTGGCTCGTAGTCAAGGAATAGGGTTGTCAGATTTAGCAAAGAGAATACGGGATGCCTTGTTAAACTGGAATTTCACACATAAACAACACATACTTTTTTAGTGTAAGTATGTCTCCTGCAATATTTGGAACATACTCATACTAAAAAAAAAGTATAGATTGTCTATATGGAATTCAAGTTCAACTGAGCATCCTATATTTGATCTAGCAGAATATCAGCTGGTAGCGTGAAGGGTGGGTCAGGGGCTCAGGGGACCAGTGGGTCTGGAAATGGAGCCTGGGAGTCTTGGCCCGAGATGAGGAGGGGAGTATCTGGAGCTGATGGATCTCAAAGACAAGGGACACACACACACACATGCACGCGCACACGCACAGAGCTTTCAGGATACGAGGTGCCTTGTGGCCACTGCTAGCTCGTATATCTTCGGTGAAATTTTTTGAAAAGGCACCCTTTCCTCAACACTTCTATGGTAAAATAATGGAAATCTACTGATTATGTTTGAGTCAGACACTTGACTGCCATCTGCTGGAAAGTTGTAGTAAGTACAAAAATCTCTGGTTATCGCCTGAACGGTGCCCTTCGATGTGGTACTTGTGGGAGCTTTTGCTCCAGTACTATGGGTCTCTTACGCGGGGGGGGGCCTGGCCCCGGTTTTACAGGCTGCCCCGGAGGCCACAGGGCCGGGGAAACGTGGCATCCAGAGCCCTGTGTCATCTGCACCTGCCAGGTAAGGGAATCAGAGCCCAGGCCCGGCCACCACGCACATCCCTGATGCTCGGCATACCCCCGGCCTGGCAGTGCCGAGCCCAATCTGGGGGCCAGACAGAGCTGCTGCCACCCCCCAGGCGTCGAGGCTGCAGCCTGCTAGGCCCCCTAGGCCAGCAGAGTAAGTGAGCGTGGGCAGCGGAGAGGGAGGGAGGGCTCAGTGTCTGCCCTGCAGGCAGGGACCGTGCGGTGCCAGGGGCCCTCATGCTCAGAGCTCAACTGCCTGGAGAGCTATACCCCGCCTGGGGAGTGCTGCCCCGTCTGCCGGCCAGGTGACCTCCTGCCCTGCCTCGCCCCTCCACCCCCTCAGCCCCCGAGGGTCCAGTACCTACTTGGGGTCACGCCTTCCCTTGGGTGATGTCCACTCACCCTGCTCTCTGCTGACCAGCCCATCATCCTGGCAACCCTCCCCAGGCTGTGAATATGAGGGGCAGTCCTATGAAGAGGGGGCCAACTTCCTGTCCAGCTCCAACCCTTGTCTCCAATGCTCCTGCCTGGTAAGTCCCACCCCCCCCCTTTGTCCAGGCCCTGCTCCTCCTTATTCACTCCCTGCCCCACCTTGGGCCACCCCTGCTGCCCTTTCATCCCCTCATGTACCTTCCAAGACCTGCTGCCAGTGAGGCTTCCCTCCATCCCGGCCCTGTGCCCCACCCCCCCGCCAAGGGTGTCGCACGCTTGCCCACCCCGCGCTCTCTGGGAGCCAGCTATCTGTGCATTACAGAGCGGCCTGGTTCGCTGTGTGCCCATGAAGTGTCCGCCCAGCCCCTGCCCTGAGCCGGTCCCAAGGCCTGGGCGCTGCTGCCCGACCTGCCAAGGTAGGAGCCCTGACCCTTCCCTGGTGGAGCTCCCGGCGGGGAAGTCACGCCATTTCTTCCACAACAGAGCTCATTCTGCTGGCTCTGACCTGGGGGGTCTGGTCAGTGGGGGAGCGATGCCGGGTCAAGCCTGCTCTGGAGCTGAAGTGTCTGGGCTCAGATTCTGCCCTTGCCACGTCATGGCTGTGTGCCTCTGAGGGAGTTACTCCGTGCCTCAGTTCCCCATTTGTGAGGTGTGGATAATGACATTCTATACCCTGATAAATGTTGACCATTATTACCTACTCTGGGCACGGAGGACAGAGGCGGGCCCTCGGCGCAGACAGCTAGAGGGTGATGCTGAGTTGCACACCAGTACTACCGAAAAGGCAGGATGAGGATCAGGTGCCAGGTACCGTGGAAACTCAGAGGAAGGAGACCCAATCCAGCCTAGACACAGGAAGGAGAGCGTCCCGGAGACAGCGTGTCCTGAGGGAGCCCTCAGCATAAAGAGCAGTTAGCTATGTGATGGGAGGAATAAGGTGGAGGGCATCCCAGGAAGAGAGGACAGCTTGCACAAAGGTGTGGGACTGACAGTGTGAGGTGGGTGTGTGTTAGGGGGGAAGGTGCAAGCACACACGAATGGCCAAAGCCTGCAGTGGGAGATGAGGGGAGGCGAGGGCAGAGGGAGGAGGGCGTGGCCGCGCTGGGTCCTGGGAGGCCTGGAAGGGCAGGCTAAGGAGCTTGGGTCTTACCCTCTCTGGGGCCCTGGGAGCCCCCAGGAGTCTAGGCAGAGGCATGACGTGGTCTGGTTTGGGCTCAGGAGAGAGCCCCCCGAGGGCATGTGGAGGAAGGTGGGGGCAGCCTGAAGCCGGCAGCCAGGCAAGCTGCCACCAGGCTTCCTCTCTGCCCATCTTCACCCCCACCCCAGGCTGCACGGAAGGTGGCTCTTACTGGGAGCATGGCCAAGAGTGGACGGCTCCTGGGGACCCATGCCGGATCTGCCAGTGCCTGGTGAGCCCCGCCGCTGCTCCCACACCCAGGCCCACCATATTCATTCCTTCATTTCACTGAGCACGTCCCATAGGCCCTGGCAGGGGACAAAGGTGGAGAAGACCTGATCCTGGGCTCTGTGAGGTGGGGGGTTGGGGGACGGGGCTGTGCCTGTCTGTGTGCCAAGTTCTGAGCATAGCAGGTGTGCAGCACGGATTTGTGAAGGTACTCAAAGAGCTCACAAGCTCCAGGAGTGAGACAGGGCAGGATAGGACAGGCAGCAACAGCTCCCGGGAGAGAGAAATGCAGATTTCCTCGAGCCATGTAGAACTGGGCTGTCCAATCTGTAACCTACTGCATGTGGCCACTGAGCCCTGGAAATGGGGCCATCCAATCTGAGATGCGCTGGAGTGTAAAATGTGCATGGGATTTTAAAGACTTAATACGAAAGAAAGGAATATAAAAGATCTCATTAATACTCTATGTTGATTGTATGTTGAAATAACTGTTGAATATATTGAGTTGAATGGAATATCTTAAAATTTAGTTTTATCTGCTTCTTTCTACTTTTTGAAATTTGACTACCAGAGAATTTAAAGTGACTTGTGACTTGTGTTATGTTAGCACAGATCTGGAAAATCTTCATGGGAGGGATGGGTTTAGGTCTTAAAGGGTGAGTAGAATCTAAGCAGGGAGAAATGAGGAAAGACATGCCAGGTGCTATAGACTGAATGTTTGTGCCCCACACCCACACAGCCCAATTCATATGTTGAAATCCTAACCCCCAAGGTGCTGGTATTAGGAGGTGGGGCCTTTGGGAGGTGTTCAGGTCTCGAGGGTGGAGCCTTTGTGAAAGGGATTAGTGTCCTTGTAGAAGGGACCCCAGAGAACTAGCTCCTCCTCTCTTCAGCCATGTGAAGACACATTGAAAAGACAGGTGTCTAGGAACCTGGAAGCAGGTCCTTACCAGACACTTCTGGCACCTTGCTCTGGGACTTCCCAGCCTCCGGAACTGTGAGAACTAAATTTCTGTTGTTTATAAGCCCCCCAGCCTATGGGATTTCACTTCAGCAACCCAAATGGTTACACCCACCCCCTCTGCAAGGATGTGCTCCCCCTCCCTGCTCGCACGGACCACCCTCCCCAACACCTGTGAGAAGAGTCACTGGCTGTCCACTTATGGGACTGGACGTGGGGGACCCCGATGCAGGTGTGAGTTCAAGGGGTGGGGTCTGGGTGGGAAGGGCCGTGGGGGGTAGCAGCAGCTACAGTCGATTGCCAGCTTCCAGAGGTGGAGGTCACACGAGGCACCGCATCTCATTACATTCCCATAACAGGCTATGGGGACAGAACTATATTTTTTTAAGATTTTATTCGTTTATTTGAGAGAGAGAGCACGAGCAGGGGGGAGGGGCAGACTCCCTTCTGAGCAGGGAGCCCGATGGGGGGCTTGATCCCAGGATCCTGGGATCATGACCTGAGCCGAAGGCAGACCCTTAACGACTGAGCCACCCAGGTGCCCGAGGACAGAACTATTATTGTCTTTTTTCAGATGGGTAAACTGAGTCACAGAGTGCTTCAGTAACATGCTGGGTTATACATCTGTATTAGTTTTCTAGGGCCCCCATAACAAAGTAGCACAAACGGATTGGCTTAAACAACAGAAATGTATCGTCTTGTGGTTCAAGAGATCAGAAGTCCAAGATCAAGGTGTCAGCAGGTTTGGTTCCTTCTGAGGGCTGTGACAGGGACTCTGTTCTAGGCCTCTCTCCTAGCTTCTGGTGGTTTGCTGGCGATCCTTGGCATCCCTCGGCTTCTCCCTTCATCTTTGCGTGTTGCTCTCCGTGTGTGTGCGCGTGTGTGTGTGTGTTCAAATTTCCCCTTTTTACAAGGACAGAGTTATTGGAGGGGCCATCCCACTCCTGACCTCATCTCAATTAATTACATCTGCAATGACCCTGTTTCCAAATAGGCCACGTTCTGACATGCTGGGGGTTAGGACTTCAACATGTGAATTGGGGGGGGACACAGTTCAACCCGTAACAATATCTAATAAGTGGATCGCAGGGACTCAATTGCTGTTCCTGCCACGTGACGGAGCTCTAAAGGCCCCTTCCCCTGCCCCTTCCGCCCCCTCCGCCCCCTCCCAGGAGGGCCACGTTCAGTGCCGCCAGCAAGAGTGCACCAGCCTGTGCCCGTACCCTGCGCGGCCCCTGCCAGGCACCTGCTGCCCGCTGTGTGATGGTGAGTCGGTGAGTGGCGCCTGGGGCGGGCATTCAGAGAGCTCACAGACGGCCCAGCTCGGGCTCCCACGAAGGCCGGGACCAGGACGTGCAGCAGTGTGTGTGTGGGGGGGGCGGTCCTGAGGAGGGTCTGAGGCACCCTCTCCCCCAACAGGCTGTTTCCTAAATGGGCGGGAGTACCGCAGCGGAGAGCCGGTGGGCTCTGGGGACCCCTGCTCGCACTGTCGCTGCGCTGTGAGTGTGGCTGCCTGGCAGGGAGGGCCTGGCTCCCGGGCCTGCCTCTCGAACGCTGACCAGGCCCTATCCACAGAACGGGAGCGTCCAGTGTGAGCCTCTGCCCTGCCCTCCTGTGCCCTGCAGACACCCAGGCAGGATCCCTGGGCAGTGCTGCCCAGTGTGTGACGGTGAGCTGGGGCCTCGAGTCACCTGGAGAGGGGCAAGCACTGGCCCCAGGGAGGCTCAGGGGTGGGCGCAGGCGTTGGGACCTATAGGAAGCCCCTTGGACTACAGTACGGGAGAAGGCCTTGATAAGCCTAAGCTCCCGTCACCACGTCCTCACCTCCCCTTCTCATGGCCAACTGGGCCCCGGGATCCTGGAGGTAGGGGAGCCTGGCACAGCAGGGCGGGCGGTGGCTGCCTCGAGGTGGTGTGAGGCTTCGCCGGCAGCCTCCAGCTCTGTCCCCCGCCCCGGTCCTCCTGTCCTCCAATCCAGGCTGTGAGTACCAGGGACACCAGTATCAGAGTGAGGAGACCTTTAGACTCCAAGAGATTGGGCGCTGCATCCGCTGCTCCTGCCAGGTAGCCAGTCCCGCCCTCTCACGCCCCAGATCTGTGTCAGCCCTTGAGGACCCTTAGCCAACGTCCCTCCTAGGCCGGCGAGGTCTCCTGTGAGGAGCAGGAGTGCCCGGTTGCCCCCTGCACGCTGCCTGCCTCTGGCCCCCAGCTCTGCCCAGGTAGGTGTGGGGAGGGGGGAGGGAGGAACAGCTTCACAGGAGGGCTGCATCCAGCCGCTGCAGATGGAAGGGGTTCCTTCACAGGGAGGGGGACACTGCCGGGCCCACCAACCAGTCCGGTGTGTGTTCAGAGGCCACCGAGGGGATGGCAAAGCCAGGGTCCCGTGGTCTGGGAAGGTCAGGGACGGCTGGAGGCATCCAGGTTGCCCTGGTGACAGCCCCCCTCGCTCTAGCCTGTGTGCTCGATGGAGAGGAGTTTGCCGAGGGGGTCCAGTGGGAGCCTGATGGTCAGCCCTGCACGGCCTGCGCCTGTCACGATGGCGTGCCCATGTGTGGGGCGGTGCTCTGCTCCCCAGCCCCCTGCCAGCACCCTACCCAGACCCCAGGTGAGTGCTCCACCCGGATCTGGCTCTCTTCCCCCCGCTTTGTCCAGCCCACCCCGGCTCGCCGGGCTCTGATCAGTCTGCCCCACCCAGGCGCCTGCTGCCCCAGCTGTGAGAGCTGCACCTACCAGGGCCAAGTGTATGCCAACGGGCAGAACTTCACAGACGCAGATAGCCCTTGCCACGCCTGCCGCTGCGAGGTACCTGCCCGGGCTTGCGCTGCCCTGCTGAGCCCCTCCTGGGGCCCACCCCCATTGCCCTCTCCCCTGCTCCCAGGAGGGGACTGTGAGGTGCTCCTTGGTTGACTGCCCTCCCACAACTTGTGCCAGGCCCCAGAGTGGACCCGGCCAGTGCTGTCCCAGGTGCCCAGGTATGTGCTTCTTGCACCTGTCTGGCTTGGGGGCCCTGGACCCAGCTCTCCCATGGCCCCCTGGGCTCACCAGATACCTTAGAAAGCAACAGCCTTCCGAATTGTTTCCAGTCAGACACAGCCTGGAACTCTCTGGAACTCACAGAGTATGGGCGGGAGGCAGAGTAGAGATTTGTTTATCCCTTCGTGTTACTCTGTGATTCTTTCCTTCCAATCTGTATTTCCTCTTCCAATCCCCCCACCAGTCAGATATATTTGCATATCTTTCTGTATAAAGCAGGTTCATGCAACAAACATTTGGGTCTGGCATGCGGAGCCTGGGTGCTGGCATGCAGTGTGACCCGAGTCCTGCCCTGGTGGAGAGTCGTGCCAGGGTGGGTATCACAAACACATGCACCTGCACGCATGAGCTCCCTGGCTCGTCCCCCTCAGGGGCAACACACGTGCCCGCACGTAAATGGCCTCAAATACACACACACACACGCGCGTGTGCTCAGAGAGCTACCCACGCCTGCCTACACAGACCCTCCTCTCGGGGCTTCCTCGTGGCCCTTCCTCAGTGGCTCTGGACCCCGAGGATGGCTGGGCACCTGGCCCAGCCCTAGAACTGTCAGGCCTTGCCGCCACTCCCGCGCCTCCCCCGCCCCAATGCTCAGACTGCATCCTGGAGGAACGAGTGTTCGTGGATGGCGAGAGCTTCTCCCACCCCCGAGACCCCTGCCAGGAGTGCCAGTGTCGGGAAGGCCATGCCCATTGCCAGCCTCGGGCCTGCCCCAGGGCCCCCTGTGCCCACCCGCTGCCTGGTCCCTGCTGCCAGAACGACTGCAATGGTGAGGTGGATGGGATGGGGGCTGGGGGGTGTCTCCCGGGATGGCTTGGGCCCCTCTATGGGCTTTTAGGGCTGCCCGGGCAGCATACCCAGGGAGGAGTAGGGCCCCTCCCGGGCCTACCGCTGCCCCCTCCCCCAGGCTGTGCCTTTGGTGGGAAAGAGTACCCCAACGGAGCGGACTTCCCTCACCCCTCCGACCCCTGCCGGCAGTGTCGCTGTCTGGTGAGTCCGCCCCCGCCCCCCGCCCGGGGAGGAGGGGCGAGACGTGGACACCAGGGACGCGGTGCCCCAGGGTGGCCGTCGGGAGGCGCGGGCATCTCCTCCGCCTCCCGCCGCCAACCGGGCCTGGCGTGGTCCCCCCGTTGCAGAGCGGCAGCGTGCAGTGCCTCGCCCGCCGCTGCCCGCCGCTGCCCTGTCCCGAGCCGCTCCTGCTGCCCGAAGAGTGCTGCCCGCAGTGCCCCGGTAGGAGGCGCCGCCCTCGGGCGGATCCGGACCCGGAGGGAGCGGGGAGGGCGGGGAGGGCGGGGAGGGCGGGGAGCCTCCGCAAGCCTCTCCCGGGAGCCCTGACGCGCGCTCTCCCCTGCAGCCGCCGCCTCGGGCTGCCCGCGGCCGGGCGGCGGGGTCCCGGCCCGCCACCTGGAGCATTTCTCCCTGCCCGACGACCCCTGCCGCCGCTGCCTCTGCCTCCACGGCTCCGCGTCCTGCCAGCGGCTGCCCTGCCCGCCTGCGCCCTGCGCCCACCCGCGCCAGGGGCCGTGCTGCCCCTCCTGCGCCGGTACCGCCTGGGCGGCGCCCCCACCGCCCCGCCCCCTGCTCGCTCCGACTCTGCCCCTGAGCCTCGCCCTACCTGGTGCCCTCTTACTCCGCGTCCCTTCCCTCCACGCCCACCCCTCCTGCGTCGGGGTTCTCACTAAGAAGGTGGGGGGGGGAGAGGGGGACAGTGCCCAGCCTGCAGGGCCTGGGAGGCTGCGGGCCTGGCAGACAGCCCCGGCTCCTGCCCTCCTCGCCTCCCCCCTCCCCCAGGCTGCCTGTACCAGGGGAAGGAGTTTGCCAGCGGGGAGCGCTTCCCTGCGCCCAGTGCCGCGTGCCACGTCTGCCTCTGCTGGGAGGGCAGCGTCAGCTGCGAACCCAGGGCCTGTGCACCTGCTCAGTGCCCCTTTCCCGCCAGGGGTGATTGCTGCCCTGCCTGTGACGGTGAGGGCCAGGGGACTGTGGGGATGAGGGGCTGGGAGGGCTGGGTCGGCATCACCCTTACTGCCCTAGAGTGGGTCCACAACATCTGTCACATAATAACAAACACTGGACTAAAGCCTGGTGCTGCCAGGTTTTAGTCATCCTACCGCTGATGCTATTTGGATATGTGACCTTGGACAAGTTACATAACCTCTCTGGGCCTCTTTTTTTTTTTTTAATTAAAAAATACGTTTTAAAAAATGTGTATTTTTGTAAAATACACATAACATAAAATTCACTACCTTAACCATTTTTAAATGTAACTCTAACTTCAGCTCCTGTAAACAAGAGACGGTGGAACAAGACCCAGTTCCCCAGTCTTTGGTCACCCTTGTACTATCTTCGCAATATTGTTACATACCCTCGACCACCTATAATTTTATTTAGTTAACTATTTTTCTTCAAATTAACTTTTAAATTTAAATCTTTTTTAGAAAGGAGTTTTTATATCATACTGTAAATGAATTTGATTTGCCAGGAATGAAGAGTTCCATAAATACTAATACAGTTAAAAATAAAACATTAAATTTGAGTCAGGCACTTTTGCCTGCCAAAGCTTTGAGACTCAGACTCGCCCTCTTTTTCTTTTTTTTTTTTTTTCCTATTAAGACTTTATTTTTTTCTTTACGGCAGTTTTAGGTTGACAGCAGAAGTGAGAGGAGGGTACAGAGATTGCCCACATACTCCCTGTCCCAGTACCTGCACAGCCTCCCTCATTATCAGCACTCCCCATCATTATCACCCGAAGCGCCCTCTCTTTTTAAAAAAAGAGGTCAGCAAGAGTCAGAGAGCGGCTCGGGTCAGGCCGCCACCACTCTGGGATCCCCTCCCCGTCCCTGATTCATCAGAGGGCTGGAAAGAGTACTGGGAAGAGGATACCTTGAACCATGTCTCCTAAGCCATCTCGGGCTATCTCCAGCTCTCCTCAACTTGGGGACATTGGTGCCTTCTGGCTGGGCAGTGGCCTGCTGAGTATTTAACTCTAGGGACAGATTCTGTGTGGGTCTTTCCCGGTAGATTGCAGGCTGAAGGGGGGAAGTCTGAGCTTCGGCCGGTCCCCCCACCCCAGACTCCTCTGCCCCCCTTCCCCTGCCTGGCTCGAGCCCTCCCCTCCCCCCAGTTGGTGTGTCTTTGAGGCCCCAGCTCAGGCCCAACTGGACTGGACTGGACTACCGCTCACCTCTCACCCTTTCTGCCTCTGCCCTGCCCCTCCCCGTCCTCTCTCTCCAAGGTTGTGAGTATCTAGGGGAGTCCTACCTGAGCAGCCAAGAGTTCCCGGATCCCCGAGAGCCCTGCAATCTGTGTACCTGCCTCGGAGGCTTCGTGACGTGTGGCCGCCGGCCCTGCGAGCCTCTAGGCTGCAGCCTCCCACTTACCCCGGCTGGACACTGCTGCCCTACCTGCCAGGGTAGGACAGCACCTGCCCTTCCTGCCCCTTCTGGAGCTCCCAGGCGCCCAGAGGCACCTGGTCTCACCACCGTCAGCCCCACAGCAAACCCATACCCTGTGCTTTCCTCACACCCCACCTGTGCCCTCCTGTCTGTCCCTGCTGTCACCTCAGACTCACGGTTGTGCTCATCAGATAACTGGGCCTCATGCTTCCAGAACTTCCTGCTCTTACACTGTCCCATCGCCTTCCTAAAATGTCACATCAGCAGACTCAAACATATTCGAGGGCTCCCATGCCCTTGAGTCAGCAGTCACGAGAGGCAGCTTCCTACCCTCCTGGCTTCTTTTGCCCATGATCGGGAGCCCGGGCCACCTCAAGCCTTCATTTCCAGGAGTGCCCATATTCCTCACCTCCTCTTCCCTCGGGCGGCGCAGACCGAAACTTGCCAGCAGTCTTTGATCCCAGCTCCAGTCCTCAGCCCCCTTCATGCCTGCTGGCCTCCCCACTCGCAGCTAGCTGGAGGCTCTCCTCCCACCCTCACCTTGCTGGCCTCAGCAGGCCGCACCAAATGTCTCCTCCAGCCATGGTGGAGGTCCCGGGCCCAGGCGTGCATGGCCGTGCAGGGCTACGTGGACAGATGTTCTTTGACTACATTTCCTCCCCTGCCAGGATGCCTCTATCATGGGGTCGCTGCAGCCCCCGGAGAGACCCTTCCTGATCCACTTGACCCCGGCTGCTCCCTCTGCACCTGCCAGGTGAGGCGGCCTTTTGGAAACCTGGTAACTTTTCATCCCTTGAGCCTCCTCTCTGACCAGGAAGACCTTGTTTCCTCCACCCCCGTCTCCCAGGGTACCATCTGGTGGAAGAGGCTTGGATTCTGGTCTCCCGGGCCAAGGGAGGGAGGTGGGAGCCTGGCAGGCTCAGCAGGGACAGCCTGCCCTGGGGCCATGTGTAGCCTGGTTTGAGGTTGTGACGACATGGAGTCCAGAAGTAGCAGTGTGACCCCTCTCCCCCAGGAAGGTTCCATGCACTGCCAGAAGAAGCCATGTCCTCCAGCTCTCTGCCCCCATCCCTCTCCAGGACCCTGCTTCTGCCCTGTTTGCCACGGTGAGCTGCCTTCCACATGCCGACCCCCCACATCTGCCAGGCCTGAGGTTGGACAGGGCAAGGTGGCAGAGCCCCTCACCCAGGAAACGTGTTTCCCACAGGCTGCCTCTCCCAGGGCCGGGAGCACAGGGACGGGGAAGAGTTTGAGGGGCCCCCAGGCAGCTGTGAGTGGTGTCGTTGTCAGGTATGGTAGCGAGGGGGCAGAGCCGGGTGGGGACAGGGCCACAATGCCGCTGGGGCTCCTGGCCTAAAGGGCATGTCCCGCAGGCTGGCCAGGTCAGCTGTGTGCAGCTGCCATGCCCTCCGCTGTCCTGCCCGCTCCAGGTCACGGAGCAGGCCAGGTGCTGCCCTCGCTGCAGAGGTATGCCCGGCCCCATGTGGCTGCCCCCTTGCTTTTGCCACCCCCCCCGCCCTGATGCCCCGTACCTGCCCCACCTCCCTCGGCTAGCTCTCCCCTGGCCTCCTGCTCCCTGTCCACCTGCGGCTGGCCCTCCCACCTTGCTAGTCTTCAGTTCTTCCTACCTCTCCCTGCCCCTGGCCTGCCCGGACCATCACCCCCTCAAAACTGCCCCCTTCCTAACCACACTCTATTCATCATCAAAATAATGACGATTCACACTGGTTGAGCACATCCCGTCTGAGCTCAGCACTTGACACATACCTCATTTAACCCACACACTATCAAATAGGTACTATTATTATTCCCATTTTACAGATGAGAAAAGCGAGGTACAGAGAAGTAACATAACTTGCCTGGGGTCATGCAGCTAGTAGGTGGCAGTCAGGATTTGCATCTTAGCCATCTGGGTCTACATTGTTACCTTGGGCACATGCTTAGGGATGGAGCCTTTCCTTCTTTCCGCATGCATTTATTACACTCCTACTGCATGCCAGCTACCATTGCTGGTACTGGGCTACTATTTGTTGTAGCCCTTGGTCTAGCAAGCAAGCAGACATGGAATGGGATAAGAACCCAGGTGTTCTGACCCTGAGCCAGGGCCCTTCTCCTCCCCCACACATAGGAGCTCTGCCCCCCCCTTCTCACCGCCTCCCTGCAGATCCTCCTCCCAGCACCCACATGCCCTGCCAAGCGCCCAGGGTTGGGGGCACAAGGGCATACAGGCAGAACCAAGCCTCAGAGCTCATCCCTGCCCACCTGGGACACAGGTTGCCTGGCCGATGGGGAGGAGCACTCTGAAGGCAGTAGCTGGGTGCACCCCCAAAGCCCCTGCTCCTCCTGCATGTGCCATGAGGGCATCGTGACCTGTGCTCACATCCAGTGTGTCATCGCCTGTGCCCGGCCCCACCAGGGGCTCAACGACTGCTGCCCTCGATGCTCTGGTACTGGGAGCCTGGGGCTGGCTGGGGGAAGGCAGGCAGGCGGCACCCGCTCAACATCTCCATCCTTTGTACTGGGTTGGGCGGCAGAGCCGGGCTGTTCTAGAGAAGTGACCCCCATTCCTGCACACACGCCAATCCCTGGAGCTGGGGGGCATTGCGGGGGCAGAGAACCCCACCCCCTGGCATTCCTGCCAGCCTAAAACCTCCCTGGTCGTGTTCTGCTCCTACCCCCACCCCCACCCCCGCCCCAAGACTGTGAGCATGAGGGCCGCAAGTATGAACCCGGGGAGAGCTTCCAGCCTGGGGCAGACCCGTGTGAAGTGTGCATCTGTGAGGTGGGTGACGGCAACGCTGAGGGGTGGGGCACCATAAAGGGGGCAGCCTGGACCCTGTGGGGCACGAGCACTATGGGGGTCAGAGAGAGGAATGTGCACCTGTGGCCAGGAGATGAGGCAGGACTTGGGGTGAAGTGAGGAGCTGGGCAGGGCCAGGAAGTGTGGGGTGGGGAGAGCGCTGAGTAGGGGGGTAGGGGTGGGGGGGCAGTGGGAAAGCCCTCCTAGCTGGAGTGTAGGGTGGGTGTATATGGGAGGTAGAGGGAGATACGTGGGAAGCAGTTGGGGGGGCATGTTAGGGAATTCCATGTGAAGGCAATGGCGAGCAGCTGTATGATGTCCCATGTCCGGAGACTTGGCAGGGAGGAGGGAGGATGGCATGAAAGTGCAGGAGGGTCAACGGTCACATGAAGGGTCAGGCCTGAGTAACGGGAAAGAGAAGGGGACATCACCTCTGGGAATTAGGCCATGGAGTGAGAAGCAACCTGGGGAGACGGTGAGTCTCTGCAGACTGGACTTTAATCTGCCCAAGACACATCCAGGGGGAGGTGCAGCAGGCAGATGGAAGGGCCTGGAGTCCAGGGAAAGAGGGTGTCTTCTCGGCTTCCAGGGCCTGAGACCCACCCACCCCCTTTGCTCACTCATTTTTGTAGCTGCAGCCTGAGGGACCCCCCAGCATTCAGTGTCACCGGCGGCAGTGTCCAAGCCTGGTGGGCTGTCCCACCAGCCAGCTCCTGCCCCCTGGGCCCCAGCACTGCTGCCCCACCTGTGCCCGTGAGTCGCTGGGGATGGGGGTCAAGAGGGTAGGATGGCCACCCCAGAGTGACACTGGAAGAGCCACCCAGCTCTCCTCTGCAGCCCAGCCCTCCCCCTTTCTTGAGTCCGGTGGACTATTCTGGAAGCCCATGCCCTGGCAGGGGAGGGCTGCAACCCCGCAGGGGGGAATTGGGGATCCTTGACTCTGAAGCCAGTTTGTGGAGCATCTTGCCCAGCAGGTGGCGCTGCGGGGCGGGAGTCTTGCCGGCCGCGGGCTTCCTGAAAGCAGCAAAGGGAGACCAGAGGGGCTCCAGAGGTGGGGAGCCCTTCTTACCAGCACTTGCTAGGATGTGCTTCAGGGAAAGAGAAGAGGACTAACATTTATTATGCATCCACTGCATGCTAGACACTGTACTCGGTGCTTTGAATAAACAGTATCCCATTTAATTCTCAGTTGCCCAGGGAGGGGTATTATTGTTCCCTTTTACAGGTGAGAAAGCGGAGGTTCAGAGCGGTTGGTTAGTCTGCCCAAAATGGCACAGGCACTGAATGCTGGAGCCAGGATTAGAACCTGGAGTACCTCCCTGGCTCTCTGGGCTTCCTTGTGCCATTCTAGCCGGGTGATATAAAAGGAAGTAGCAGAGGGAGCAGGCGAGGCATCCTGATGGTCCTTAGTGACCCGAGGCTAAGGAAGCCACACCCTGTCCATTTCCAGGCCCTCCACCCTAGTAGTCTGCGAAGTTCTTTTCAAAAAGTCCCAACTTTTCTTTGCTGACCGCAGAAGAAAGAGGACTTCTCCTCTTGGAATCGGCCCTAGGGATAGGAGTATGCCCTAGGACTAAGAAGTCTGGGGACACAGTGGGTGAGTGGGCTTTTGCCCCCTGCTTCCCCCTTCTCCCCCCAACACGGAGTTCTTGTCTTCACAGAGGCGCTGAGTAACTGCACAGAAGGCCTGCTGGGCTCCGAGCTGGCCCCGCCCGACCCTTGCTACACCTGCAGGTGCCGGGTGAGCCTCCTGCCCCGGGGACTCCCAAAGCGCTCTCTTCCTCCACCGTAGGCTGCGGCAGCAAGCCCTCTCCTGCAGTGGCCCCAGGCTCCCCACTCACCCCGACATCCACCCACTTACCTTGGACAGCGTATCTGGCCTAGGCCTGCTCCCAACTACACACCCTGCTCCCTCCCTGCTGGTCGCTACCAGTGGTGTTCACATGCCCTTCCCCAGGACCTGACATGGCTCTGCATTCACCGGGCCTGTCCGGAGCTCAGCTGTCCCCCATCAGAGCGCCATACCCCCCCTGGGAGCTGCTGCCCCGTGTGCCGAGGTAAGTCAGCCTTGACCTGCATCCTCTGAGCATGAGCCCAGGGGGGAGACAGGAAGGGTGGCATCCAGAGTCTATGTGGGCAACCTGGGGTCTATACTCCAAATGCAGGCTTCATTCTTTTGTAGAAATGAAGGGTTACTCATTGGGGTGCAAAAGGTAGAGGAAATCAGGGAATGAAGTCTGGATTCTCAAGGCCTCGCCTGAGGCTTGTCGGTGGGCTCAGGGACCCCAGGCCCACTGGCCAGGCATTGCACTGAGCTGGCAGCCAGCCCATGGGAAGCCGGAGGTTTCCCAAGAGCCTCTGGCTCTTTGGGCTTCCAGGACCCTCTCCTCTTCCTGAGCCCTGGGGTAGGTCTAGTAGGTCATCTGGATACCGGATGAAGAAACCGACACCATCAGGGTGCTCGTGGAATGGTGTGGGCACTCCCCTGCTGTGGGCCTTCAGGGTGAGCTCCAGAGAGGAGGATGCAGTTGGAAGGACAATGCTCCCCCATCCTCATTTCTCCCTCCTCAGAATGCGTGGTGGAGGCTGAGGGCCGGAGCGTGGCAGATGGAGAGAGCTGGCAGGACCCTAGCAATGCTTGCCTTACTTGCACCTGCCATGTGAGCTGGGGGTCGTAGGGTGGGCATCGGGTGGGGCGCAGGGCCTTACAGATGGGTGGATAGAGAGTCTCAGGACACTGGACCAGTGACTATGGGGTCTTTGAGGTAATTAGAAAAAGGCGCCCCCTCTGAGAGCGGGCAGCGGCGTCCGTGGGCTGGGGCAAGGAACTAAGGGCTGGATTTCATCCCCCAGGGAACGTGACATGGGTGTTCTTGTGGGGCAGGGGCAGAGAGAAGGGGCTGCTCCCTCAGACTGTGACCCAGAGGGCCCCCAGAAGGGTGAGGCCAGGGCCCCCAGGCCCTGCGGGAGGTCCCTAGAGCAGTGACATCTGTCCTCAGCGGGGCCACGTGCAGTGCGACCTGGAGGAGTGCCCCGCCCTCTCCTGCCCCCACGGCTGGGCGAAGGTGCGAGAGGCCGGCCGCTGCTGTGAGCGATGCCAAGGTGCCAGCCAGAACGATGGGGGTTGGGGACGAGCGAGACCTCAGTGCGAGGGACGGGCAGGTGACCCTACCCCGCTCCTGTCGCCTCAGCCCCCGCCCAGTCGTGCGCGCACCAGGGCCGGGCGGTGGCCTCCGGGGAGCGCTGGGCCGTGGACGTTTGCACCACCTGCTCCTGCGTGGCCGGCACGGTGCGCTGCCAGAGCCAGCGCTGCCCGCCGCTCTCCTGTGGCCCCGTGAGTGCCGCGGTCCAGGGCGGGGGGGGGGGGGGGGGCACGTGGCACCGCCGTCCGGGTGAGACGAGGCGGGAGGAAGGAGGGAGGCAGGGCTAGTGGGGCGGAGGTACCCGAGGCCTGCAGTTCCAGGCGTGGCCACAAGGGGGTGCCCTGAGCCCGCTCGCGGTGAGCCCGGAGGCCGGAGTCCGAGTCCCCGGAGACTCCCGGGCGATCCTCGGTCCCGGGGAGTCTCTGCGTGGGGCACGGCGGGGAGGGCGATGTGTCTGACGGGGCCTGGGGCTGAGGCCAGGACGAGGCCCCCGCCCTGAGTCCCGGCAGCTGCTGCCCCCGCTGCCTGCCTCGCCCCGCCTCCTGCACGGCCTTCGGAGACCCTCATTACCGCACCTTCGACGGCCGCCTGCTGCACTTCCAAGGCAGCTGCAGCTACGTGCTGGCCAAGGACTGCCGCGGAGCGGACTTCAGGTGCGCAGCCCCCTCTGCCTTCCCCCGACTCCCCACACCTGTCCCTGCTGACCGCGGCACCTGGGCCTCTCACGCCACAGCGTGCACGTGACCAACGATAACCGGGGCCGGAGGGGTGTGGCCTGGACCCAGGAGGTGGCGGTGCTGCTCGGAGACGTGGTCGTGCGGCTGCTGCAGGGCAGAGCGGTCACGGTGAGCAGAGCCGAGGACCCGGGGAAGGTGGGTCGCGCGCCGTCCGCGGTCCACTCGTCAGTCCCGGCGTCGTCCCCCTCCCGCCTCCCTCCTCCAGGTGGACGGGCGCCCGGTGGCCTTGCCCTTCCTACAGGAGCCGCTGCTGTACGTGGAGCTGCAGCGACGCGCGGTGATCGTGCACGCCCAGCCGGGGCTCCAGGTGCGCCGCCAGGGCCAGTGGGGTGTGGGAGCCCCGGACCGGTTCAGGCGTCTGTATCTGGAGAGGGAGTGGGAATACCAGCTAGGTCCAGGGCCACATCAGGCCAGGGAGGTGAGAAAGTTCGGCTGGATTCTGAGGGGATCTTGGGATTCTTGGGTGCAGCGAAAGGAGTTCTGAGCCTAGTTTCTAATCTTGGTTCAGCCACCCACACAGTGGGACTCTTAGGCCAGTACCAACTGCCTCCGGGCCTGTTTTCTCATTGGTAAAAAGGGGGAAGTGTTGGGGGGGGGTGTCATCTGAGGTCTCCTAGGCGACTTCTGAGATTCCTTCCAACTCCCATGTCAGAGAGTAAATTTCTCCCTGCCTTCAGCAAGAAGTACAGTCTGTAAATTCATAAAATAAGGCTTGTCTGTACTTCTGATCTGGACTCGAATTGTGCTTTATCCTCTGTAAGGCCCTAATGCCCACGAGAAAGTGAATCTCTGGAAGTGGGTGTGCATTTCACCAGGGGCTCAGCTCAGGGATGCCAACAGGAGAAGGTGCCCTCCTGCCAGTGTGGTCAGCTCTTCATGTCTTCGCCGGGGACTCACACAGCGTGGGGCAACTTGGCTTTGGCCAGAGCTGCCTCCTCTCCATGGGGGGCCTCTCTCCACCCATTCTCCTCCCTTCCAGCAGGGAGGGTGCTGACAGTGCCTGGGGCCAGGACGGGGTCCCTACCTTTCCCCACTCCCCAATGCCAGCCTCTCTGCACAGGTGCTGTGGGACGGGCAGTCTCAGGTGGAGGTGAGCGTGCCTGGCTCCTACCGGGGCCAGATGTGTGGGCTGTGTGGGAACTTCAATGGCTTTGCCCAGGATGATCTGCAGGGCCCTGAGGGGTTGCTCCTGCCCACAGAGGCTGCCTTTGGGAATAGCTGGCAGGTGAGTGGCACAGGAGCTGGGTGGCTGAGGGAGGCACAGTTGAGTGGGAGTCTTAGAACAGCCTGCTTATATGGAAAGCCGGGGGATCACTGAAGGGCTTTGTAGCTTCAGGATGATTTGGGGTCATGGTGCTGGGGGAGGCAGGATGGCCTGTTGAAAGAGGCATCATCTAAATCCGCAAGCCCTGCCTTGCCACTCACCGGCTGTGTGAGCTTGGATAAGTCCCTTACATGCTCTGGGCCTCGGCTTGTCCATCTGTAAAAGGGGGACAAGGAGAAAGTGGCCGGTGCTTCCTTTGCTGTTCTTGTAGGGAGGTTTTTGAAGCTAAACCAAAATATTTGGTGGAAAGTGTTTTGAAGAACGTAGCACACCAAGGTCAGCTTGCCAGGGGATGCTGTCACATCAGGGTCACTCTTCCCGCCTAGGTCCCAGAAGGGCCGGGACCTAGCCGGCCATGTTCCAAGGGCCGCGAGGTGGATCCGTGCAGGGCAGCGGGTTACCGAGCCAGGCGTGAGGCCAATGCCCGGTGTGGGGTGCTGACGTCCTCCCCGTTCAGCCGCTGCCATGCTGTGGTGCCGCCGGAGCCCTTCTTTGCCGCCTGCGTGTATGACCTGTGTGCCTGTGGCCCCGGCTCCTTGGCTGATGCCTGCCTCTGCGACGCCCTGGAGGCCTATGCTGGCCACTGCCGCCGGGCGGGGGTGACGCCTGCCTGGCGGGGCCCCACACTCTGCGGTGAGGGGGCAAAGCCCAGCGCGAGTTGGGGAAGAGGGTGGCACAGAGGGCTCGGGTCTGGACGGGGTGCCCCCGTGACCCTGACTTCCCCTCCACCTGCAGCGGTGGGCTGTGCCCTGGACCGCGGCTTCGTGTTCGATGAGTGTGGCCCGCCCTGCCCCCGCACCTGCTTCAACCAGCACGTCCCCCCAGGGGAGCTGGCAGCCCACTGTGTGAGGCCCTGTGTTCCTGGCTGCCAGTGCCCTGCAGGCCTGGTGGAGCACGAGGCCCACTGTGTCTCACCCGAGGCCTGCCCCCCCATCCAACTCACTGGGGACCAGCCCCCCAGACCTCTGCCCGGCCCCAGCCAGTAGCCTCAGGGGGCACCCGGAGCCAGGATGACACCAGGACTCATCGGGTCAAAAGCGTCCCCTTAGAGAACGGCTCCCGCCGTGGCCAGAGCCGTGGAAAGAGTGCCCTACCCAGGCACCGGGAGCCTGGGCCTTTGTCCCACAAAGACCTCACTGTGTTCAGTCAGAAGCAGTAAAACTGGGGGCTCTCCCACAGCATACTTGTGTGTATGTGTGTTTTCTCCTGGTGCTGGGATGGTGGCGTGGGCTGCTTGGAACATGGGGTCCAGTGGTTCGGTGTCCCCAGCTGTGGGAGCTGAGCCCTGGATCTTGCTCATCACGTCTTGCACCTGCCTGGGCTGCCCCCACCTGCCATACCCTGGGGTTGCCTGGGAAACCCTGCACTGGATGGAAGGAAGACCTAGATATCTTGGTCTCAGCTCTGTGCTCACACTGTGTCACAAGCGTGGCCCATGGTCCCTCAGTGGTTCACGTGGAATTCTGTGGGGGCTGAGGAGCACAGAAAAGGGGCTCAGTCCTCACATGGCATTCCCTTTCCTCTTGACTTGGGGGATACCAAGTGCTAGGTGTCTCCAGGGCCGCTCTAAGAGCTGGTGACAGGGACATGCCCAGGGTGGGGAACTGGAGACACAATAGACCATGATGAAATATGGATACATGCGCACACACATACACACACACTCACACGCACATACACACACTCACACACACATGCACGCATGCACACACCCCCTCAGAAACCCAGGTAAACACGTGCAGCACGTGCGTGGCCCCTGTGTGCATCCACAGCCACACCCAGCCTGGATGGACACGTGAGCAGGGGACATCCTTGTAGAGGAAAGAACATGGGTTCGGAAATAGAAAACAAGTCTATTTCTTCGAAAAGTCTCTTTGCAAAAAAGACTGCTTTTGCCACCTATTGGCTGTGACCTTGGTGATGTAGGGTAAAAGATGAGCGGGTACTGCATTCTCATCGCAGCTCCCTCTTCCTTCAGCAGGAGGGAACCCCCCCCCCCCCCAGCTGAGTCGGGCCCCCAGGCTCTTGCGGAGCGGTTGCCAAGCAGCAGGTATGCGAGGCTGCTCGGGACAGCAGGGATGTGGCAATGACAGACCAGCTCGTGCCCTTGTCCCTGCCCTTGTCATAACCTTCACAAACCATGCCGTCACCGGCTGTATCTCGTGTGTCGCGACGAGGAGACAGAGTAGACCCGGGGCCAGCACTTTGCGCGTGGACAGCGTGGAGCAGGTGCCTGGGAAGTGCTCGCCTTTGTCCTGCCCGTGGGGGCTCCTCGTCCCTGGGACCACGTTTCCCCCAAGCCTCTTCATCACGGCCACTTGCCTCCAGATGAGGGAGACGTTGCCCCACGTTAGCTGGGGCAACCCGACTCTCCGGGGCCACTTGCTAGTCTGCAAGCCTGGGATGAGGATGCTAGCACCCACTTCACAGAGTTGCGTCAGGGATGGATTACACGGATGCAGCCTTTAGTTTCCTGGCCCACAGTGAGTGAGCCGGGGGTGGCCGTGGCCCGCGTCGGGCCCATTACGTGCGTACATAACGCCATTGCGAGCGTCATACGTACACAGAAGACACATGCTCTGAGGCTTGCAAACAAGCACACGCATGCACTGTTCTCGCCAGCGAGGTCCCAGTCCTCGCCCCACACTACCGCCCCCCACAGCCAAGAAACCCAGGTCAGAGGCAGGCCCGAGTCTCTCTGAGACTTGGCTGGGGTCCAGGCCGTGGCTCAGATGTCAGGTCCCTGCATTATTGAGCTCTGGAGCCTTTGTCTCCTCCTCGGTTCTTGGTCCTCTCCTCTCCCCACTCCAGCAGCCGAGGGGAGGAGGGAGGGGACATCTGCTCTGGCTCCCCCTCCCCATGGAGCACACAGCCACACCTGGGGGCCCGGGGCTCCCTTGTAGCCACAGGCAGGCCTTAGCCCTGTACCAGCACCTCTTTAGATGCCCTGCAAGCCTGGGCCAGCTCCAGGCTGCCCTGCAGCAGGTGAGAGGGGTAAGGCATTGCCTCTGAAGGGCAAGGCAGAGGCCTGACTCCATCGTGTCCCCCCAGGTGCAAGAGAGTCGGGCCTGTCGATCAGGGCTGGAGCTCCCCACTGTATTGCTGGAGATGGAGCGGAGCTGGCGGGCCCAGCAGCAGGTAGGGGCTGGCCGAGGGGCATGGCAGAGGGCAGGGTGGGCACCCCTTCATGCCCTGGCACCCCCTCTTTTTGCAGCTGCTGTGGGACTTGGAGCTGCTGACTGGGGCAGGGCTGAGGCTCTTCTGGCCCTCCTGGGCCAAGTTCTGCGGTCTGAGGGACCAGGCCCAGTGTGTACGGAGTCAGTACGGCAAGCCCCATGGTGGGACAGGCGGGGGGTCCTGAGCGGCGGACCAGCTGGGTGAGCGGGGGCTTGGCTGAAGGCAAGGGGGGTCGGTGTGACATTGGGGTGATGGTGGTGGCGAGGGAAGAGGAAGAAGTATGGGCTTCAGACACAGATGGGCCTGGGTTCTCTCTGGTCTGATGCTCCCTGGGGACCATAAGCCTCTGTTCCCTCAGCTACAAAATGGGGAAGATAATCGATCTTACACAAAGGGAGCACCAGTGAACTCATCCATGTAAAGGGGTTAACACGGTGCCTGGACCTGCAATTAATGACTATCTTGGTCAAATCAACGGTGTGGTGACATCTTGAAGGCTTTAGACATGGCTGCACGGTGGGAGGAAAGCAAGCCTGCATGGCTGGCTCCTGAGGGCAGAGGCACTGATGCCCGGGTCCACGGACCCTTTCCCCCCGGGCTGGTGGCTGGCCTGGCCCCTCTAGGAGGGAGGGTGCTATGGTGACTGGGACCTGGGACTGTGCCTCCCAGTTCTCAGTTACCAATTGTCCGAGGCTCTTTGGGCAGGTTGGCAGCCCTCTCTGAGAGCCGAGGCATCCTCAGCTGCAGCGAGAGGGGGTCTTAGTGGTGACCGCTAAGGGAGGGTCCAGCCGACCCTGTTGGCCGGAACAGCAGTCTCATCTCATCTGCAAGCTCGAATCGGCAGGAGCCATCCATTTCCTCACAAGGAGGGGAAGAGAGCAGGGTCATACATGGGCAAGGGTACCAGGAGGAGGGATGATTTGGGCCATCTTAAATGGTGCCTACCCTAGCCCACATGTGGACTAGGGCACCCTCCAACTTTCCAGAGTTCCAGGCTGTGCCCATTGCCCCAGCCTGGGGACTCTCTGAGCCAGAACCATCAGCTTCCAGAGGGGTGAGTCTTTCTCCCAGGAAATTCTGTCCAGTTTGTATTGCCACACAAAAGGGCCAAGCCCTGGATCCTTTTTCCTATCTCCTTCCACGGTCCTGCCTAGGCCCTCTTCCTAATGCCCAAGGCTCCTCTTGGGGTCCTCACTCAGTTGTACCCATATGGTTGCCCCACAGCCCCTGGAAAGGGTGACCCCCACGTTCCAGCTCCTGGGACCCAGGGTTGGGTGCAGGGGCTGGGAGAGGCCGCCCTGGACTGGGCTCAGGCATTGGGGTGGGGGGACTGGCGGACAGGCTGCCTCCCCTTTCTAGAGCCCATGGGCTGCAAGAGCCGATTCTGAGGCAGCCTCTGACTCCTGTAGGGGGCAGGCGGTTGACCCATCGTCAGCCCTAGATCTGGGTGAAGCTAGGAGTGACGGAGACCCAAGGTGGGGGAGCCCTGCTATCCCTGCAGAGCCCACACCCGGTATGCTGACACCCTGGCTGGGTGGCCAGACAAGATCGGGAGGAGGTGGGAAGTCCTCATCCCAAGTGCCAGGATCCCAGTCCCCTTCTCACTCATTCTTCATCTCATACTTTTTATTGGGTGCCAAGGAGCACCTGCGGACAAGAAGTAGGTTTTATTTTATGTCCCAATTCCGCCTGTTCGGTACCAGCTGTCTCCGGCACAGGGTCCAGGATTCCGAAGCTAAACTGGGGCGCAGGGGAGGGAGTGCTGGAATGACTGTGCATGGTGGCCCAGGGAGGAGGTATGGAACGGCGGCACCTGTCACCTATTTGACCCCCCCCCCACCAGGCACTGGGAACATACAGAGCACAGGATGGACTTGGCCCCATTCCTTGGTCCCTGTCACTGAGGAGATCACAGCTTAGTGAGAGTGCAACCATAAACAGGCAATTAGAATTCCATGGGATAGATGCTGTGAACCCTGGACCTATTAATTTAAATGAACCAGACTCTCACATTATTTGTTAAATAAACCTAGTTGAGCCAGAAGCCTCTAATTGTTCCATCATGCACGTGAGAGAAAAGCAAAGAGCCAATGCTTGTTTTTTCTGATTGGCAGAGATTTTTACAAGTAAAAGATCTCTTGGGAATACAGAGGCATCAGTTACAACATTATAACCAGAGGAATAAGTTCTCTAGTAAGACAACAGATCAGAATTGTGAGGGCACAGGGCTGGGGGTCATGTTCAGTGTTCATAGCAATCATTTCTAAAGGCTTGGGAGTCTTATCAGACTCCTTTGTTCAAAAGACATTGTCACAAAGAACTTACCCATTTGGTTACTTTTGTGAATATTCACACATCCACATTGCATAAAGATGGAATATTCTTGTGACAGTTCTCCATTTAGGGTCTTACGAAATCAAGTTCTTTTAACTAGTTCTAGGGCTGCAGAAGGACTCTCTTTCCTGCACATCTGCAAGGGAGCAGAGACATTTCATTTCTTTTTTTAGATTTCTTCTGTTAATTATGAAACTTGCAGTTTTTAGGGCTGGCTCCAGCCTCAAATTTCATTTCTTGAGTTTCATTTGATTTTACCGTCAGCAACCAAGAAAGACCTAAGGAGGATTTTTCTTAGTAACAGTAAAATAAGGTGCCTACCGTGGGTTTCTTTATGGGCCTAGAGGGGCCCACCAGGAGGAAGTGGGGTGTCCTTGTAAGGGACTGACAAGCCTGGCCAACAGGCCCTTCCCGCCCCCAAGGCATCCCCTGGTGGTTTTGAGGACAAGGGTGTGCAGGTCCCTCTGAGGTGCTCTGCCTTGGCTGGGGGGATGAGGAAGATGTGGTGGGCTGTTGACAGGCAAATCCAACAAGCAGATACATGGCAGGTAGTTTGAATAAAGGTGGACGGATGAACTGTGACAGCGTTGAAGTTCAAACATTGGTCCTGAGGGCATGCCCTTCCCCTTATGTGCTGGGGACTCCCTAGGCTTCTTGGTTCCAGTTCAGGTGGAATGTGTGTGAGGGGCTGGGACATGAGCAGAGCGTTCCTGACATTGGTCTTTCTCCCTCAGGTTGCTTACAAGAGCCGAACTCCACCACCAGCAGTATCTTTGGGGACCCAGGAAGCTCTGAATTCAAGGTGAAAGAGTTAAAGTGTTCTGGGCAAAGGCCCTCTCAGATTGGGGCTAGCAGGGGTGGGTCTGCCTGGGAGGAGGCTACCAGGGGGAGGTGATGTCACCTCCTATAGCCAGGTGGAAGAAGGGACTCTCACTGGAAGCACCTTTTACACCACGTAAAGTAGGCTGAACGAGTTCAGGAATCAGGCAAGGGCTGTAATGGAAATGAGGTCCACTGGGACAGCCACTGTGGTCTCCAGGGTCCCTTGGGGGGAAAGTGGCTGAGGTATGGGGATTCCCTCACAAGCCTGGGCCCAAATGCTCTTCCTTCCCAGGACCTGGCTCAGAGGGGAGAGAGGAGACAAGCAGGACCTACAACCCAGAGGCCATCCACAGGCCTATGGGGGAGGAAGCTCACTCAGGGAGCCCCAAGGCCCTCAGGCCTGCCCTCCCAGGGCCTGTCAGAACCCCAAGATCTGCCTGTGAGGCTGGGCTGGAGCCTGGGCCAGGAGAGAGCAGAACTTCAGAAACTGCTGAGGATTGAGATTCCTCAGAGGCAGTGAGAGGAGGATCCCCAAGAGCAGAAAGAGCGTCCCCAGGGTCAGAGAGGGGAGGCCCCCAGCGGGGAGAGCGAAGAAGTTCCTAAGAGACAGAGAGAGAAGATACACCAGGGTCAGAGTCGGGAGGCCACTCGGGCTCTGGGGGAGGAAGTCTCTGTGTACCCCAGGGAGGAGGCTCCCCAGAGTGAGAGGAGTGAGTCTCCTCAAGGTTAAAGAGGAAACAGCCCTGAGTGCCAGAGAGAAGAGGTTCTCCAGGAGCCGAGGAAGGAGACTCCTCGGGGCCAGGAAGTGAAGACCCTTCAGACTTCCCCAGGCCGCATCTCACAAGCCTGGGAGGTGGCTGAGGGAGAGGCGCCTACACAGCCCCCCGAGGAAGGCGGCTCCCTGGGCATTTCTAGGGATTTCTGCAGGTCCCTGGGAGAACAGAAGCCTCAGCCTGGGGGAAGGGAGAGCCCTGGCTCCGGGGAAAGGACCACGCAGCTGACGCAGGACAAAACTGACGGCGGGAGCCGAGAGTCGGCGCCGGCCGCGGGAGAGCAGAGGGCCGTCCGGGAGCGGGCGCGGCCTCCCCTCCTACCCCCGAGGCTCCCGGCCCGGCCGCGGCTTCCAGGCACCGGGGCTCGGGGCAGCAGCAGCAGCACCCCGCGGCTCTCCCGGGGCGCCCAGGGCTGCTGCGCGACCCGCACTGGCTTCAGGGCCCGGAGGGAAGCCCGGGCGCGGCGGAGCAGGTGCGCGGCGGCTCCGCTAGGCTCCTGGGCGCCGTCGGGGAGCGGGGGCGCGGCGCGGAGGCCCCGGAGGCCTCGAAGGCCGCGTGGGCCGCGCGGCCCGGCCGGGAGAAGGCGTCGGCGGCGTGAGCGCGGCGCAGCGGGAGACGGCTCTGCCGTGGCTGCTGGAGCTGCAGCGCGCGGGGCCGGCCTGGGGCGCGAGGGGCACGACGGGCGGCCGGCCGCTGACAGCCGCCTCCCCCAGGTCTCGGAACGCCTCCGCCTCGCCAGGAACCGCCCCTGCCGGCTGCACCCTCTGGGGCCCCCACCCAGCGCAGCCCAGCTCCCGCCCCAGGCAAGCCTCCCGGGGGAAGGCGGCGGGGCCCCCGCGGTCCTGCCCGGGCGGGCGGCGGGCTGGGCGCCTCCCGGGTCCCTCCCGAGTGCGTGCCCCGCGCACCCGCACGGACGCCGACTGAGGGCGGAGGGGCGCGTCGGCCCGGGTGCTGCGGCCGGCGGCTCCGCCAGGCCCGCGGGGGAGGAGGCCGGGGCCTCAGCGCTCGGCACCGCCCCGGGAGGACGCGGCGGGGCAGCGGCGGGCCCTGCGGGAGCAGCTGCAGCGAGCGCTCCGGGAGAGGACGTGGCGGCTGCGGGCCCTCGGGGCCAGGGGAGGGGGGAGGGCGGGGAGGGTCCCCTTCTCTGGGATGACAGGCCTCTCTCTTCCAGGAACACCCAGAACTTCCAGCAGCTCCTGTGGCCCCCTGGCGCCGAGGAGCCTTGGGCTGGAGAGGAGCGCTCACCCTTCCCGGCCCCCTCGCGTCACTGCTGAATGCTCAAAGGAAAACGCAAGCCGGCGACCCGCAGGCCCGCAAGGGCAGAACAGAGGTCGTTCCAAGAAAGGCCCAGAACTTTGCCTCAGGGCCTCGGAGGCCAGACACACAGACACACGCCGCAGCTTCAGCCCCACCAGGAGGCGTGTTATTTCTTCTTTCCTCCCCTAAGTCCACTGCCCCGCCAACGTCAGAGCGCCAGGTCCTGAGGGTCAAGCAGCGAGAAGGCCCCATTCTTTCGGAAGAACGATTCAGTGCGGCACATCTTACAGGAGACCAGTTCTTGCTTCACTGGGGGGCCTGTGGAAAGATGTCAGAGGCCAGGAATGGGTCCTGGGAAAGGGAACCACGGGAGCCCTGCCTACGGAGCCCTGGGAATCTGCCTGTACTGTATCCACTTTGGAAGTGTGGAAGAATAAAAGGTGCTTCTGAGGAACACCAGCCTGGGCAAATAGGGAGCTGGCTGGGGGTCCAGAGCAGCAGTGACGGCAGGACTGGTCAGTCCGCCCCCTGCTATCGTTTCCGCCACCCCAGACTCCACAGAGCGGGTGGTGGGACCCCCAGCACGGCTGGTCACAGGGACAGAGCTAGACGTCCCTGCGGGAGAGAGGGCTTCCTTCTACCTCCTGCTCTTCTGGGACTTGCTTCCTGCTTTTTTGGGAAAATTCCTCTTTTCCCCTCCCTTTAGGACCCTGTAGAAAATGGGGGAAATTTTTAGGCAAAAACATCAACTGTGTTTATCCCCAACCATCCGCCTTTCCCGCCCAGGCACCCAAGCGTGGGGAGAAAAACCCATGACTGAGTAGCCTCGTTCACAATTCATGAGCACAAGGAGCAAGGGACACAGCATCGCCCAGCAATCCCGCAACACTCCCAGGCGTGTTCCCTTTCCTGTGCCATTTAACTCTATCTCCAACTACACCACTGCCCCTCACCCCCACCCCAGAGGATGACCTCGACTCTCAGCCTCACAGAAAAAGCAGACTCGGTCCAGAAGGGACAGCCTTCCCACCAACACCATCTCCCTACCCCTCTCTGTGCCCCTGCCTCTCCTGTCAGATTCCAGCATCTGGAGTTCCCTGGGTGAGCTCACCCGACCTCAGACTTTAAATAGCACCTACAGGGGCGCCTGGGTGGCTCAGTCGTTAAGCGTCTGCCTTCAGCTCACGTCATGATCCCAGGGTCCTGGGATCGAGCCCCGCGTCAGGCTCCCTGCTCCATGGGAAGCCTGCTTCTCCCTCTCCCCCTGCTTGTGTTCCCTCTCTCGCTGTCTCTGTCAAATAAATAAAATAAAATCTTTAAAATAAATAAATAAATAAATAAATAGCACCTACATTCTGATGACCCCCAAGTTTGCATCTTCAGCTCTGACCTCACTCCACAGGGGGACCTCCATACACAGCCACCTCGCTGGCCCCTCCAGCCTGGTCAGGGCTGACCTGTCCTCACACCCCCCCTCCCCCCAACCCTGCTCCTCTCCATCTTTCTTGTCCAGGCGCTTGAGCCAAACACTGGGGCTTCACCACGGTCTTCTTTCCCCTTTGGTCATTCAGTCCACCAGTAGGCTTCATTGATTCCTCCTCCAAAACATAGCCTGAATCTCCCTCGGCTCTACCGCTAATCACCCTAGCCCAAGCCACCGTCCTCTCCTGCCAGGATGACCCAACACAGATGCAGACCTCAGCTGCCAGAGTTGACTCTTTCCCTGAAAAACCCGTTACTTACAGAAGAGTTAGTACCCGACCAGTACCACTGACCGGCTTAAAATGCTCCGTGGCTTCGTCTCCCACTTGGAATCCAAATTCCTTCGTGTCACTTAGCTTCCAACCGTTGGGTCCCCAGAGAGGCCTTTCCTGACCATCCAGTCTAAAGCCTCACACGTCCCTTGCCCATCTCCCCCATCACTCCCTAGTCTCATCATGGAACTTGTCCTTATCAGACGGGTCCTCTTTACGGCCTAGACCCCCCCAACTAAATGGACAACCCCATCCACGTCTTGTGTGCCTAGTGCTGACGGCACAGCCTGGCTCAGGGCAGGGGCTCCGTGTCCGTGAGATGAGTGATTTGAGAGGTTGGGGCTCACCCAGCTGCCAGCCATACGTGAAGCTGGTGGTGATGGGGAAGAGGTAGCGCATCTCTGGCAGGTCCAGTTTTCGGGCGTTGAGGTAGCAGTAGCGGCCCTGGAAGTCGTGGGAGATGCCTTCATACAGCAGGGCCCGGGTGGCAGGCGGGACCGGGAGCATTTCTGACTGAATAGGAGTCTCCGGGGCGGGGCTGGGGGCCTCGGTAGGCACTGCCTTGGGGGCAGGTGGAGGCGGGAGTGGGGCTTTGGGGTGCAGGGTGGGCAGTTTGAGGGGTAGGCGCGCTGCAGCCTTAGCCTTCTGCTTGGCCTTCACCATCGACCCATACTTGCGGTGCCATTCACAGCGCAACATCTTCTCCCGCAGATATTCCTCCTTCCAGAAGTTCTGCCGCAGCGTATCCATGTTGAGTTGCCGCGACATGGTAGCCAGGGAAGGGGCAGGGTGGCTGCAGCTGAGGGCTGAGCAACAGCAAGCAGGGGCCTTCTGGCAGCAGGGGGCTGCCACGGACAGTCACCTGGCAACCAAGCCTCACCTCACACAGGGCCAGGGTTCTACTTGCCATGCCTTTAGCAGACCTCACATGCCTTGATCCAGAGGCACCCTCAGGCCAGGGCCCACCAGCTAAGAGCCTTGATCTCCAAACCTCTTGCAGGACCACGGCTCGGTCTGGTATCACAGGCTTCTAGGTTTCCTGTGTTTCTGCTTCCATCCCTTCGGGTCAGGTCCCTTCCCAGCCCAAGAGAGACTGAAGTGGGGGAGCCAAGGGCCTGGGCACAAACCTCCTCCCACTCCTCCCGACCAGAGCTGGTCGCTGTTGACTCAAAGGACCCATCCTTGAGTCACAACCTCCTGGCACCATCTTTCTGGTCCAACTTTTCTATGCCCGTATCTTTGGCAGAACCATTTCTGGCCCTGCCAATCTAATCCCCCCAACCGCCTCATCCCATGCGTGTCCTTTGTAGCACCCAGCCTCAGTTTGGAGAGAAACAAGAACATTACTTTAATTTAACATCAACAATGACACTGTGTAACAGCACAGAGGGGTAGTGGAGAGAAGACACTCGGGCTTCCTGTTCCCTAAGCAGCCTTGACTTTAATGGCAGAGCCCCAGCAACATGGAAGCACCTCACCTAGGCTCTCAGCGGAATGGGAAGGGGCAGGGGGCTGGGAACTGGAAATCAGAGGCTCACAACTTAGAGAAGGGCTGATGGCAAGCCTGGCGAGAGGCTGCATGGCTGTGGGGAGGGCCCTAGCGCAGGTCCTCAGCCGTGAACATGCCCCTTGCCCTGCGCAGGATGGAGTCCTTGGCGGCATCATAGGGGTGCTCCTTGGACGGGATCTCCAGAACGGCTGGAATGGAGCGCTGGTGGGCGTCGAGCGCGTGCCGCACCATCTCTGCGATGTATTGGTTGATGAGGATAATGCCGATGTCATCCCGGTTTAGAAACTGCCTGTTGGGATAGAGGAGAAGGGATTCGAGGACAGCCCACTCAGAGGTGCTGAGGCTGGGCTGCAGAGGGGAATGGGCTTGACCCAGAAACCGCAGAGTTCAAGGGCAAAGGTTGCCAGCTAAACTCTGGAGAGTTTCTAACCAGGATCAAATTCAAAAACCTAAAGACCCTGGCTGTCAGGGTTGGCTTCTCCCTCCCCTGCTTGGAAGGCTCCCAAGTGAATTGGTGCTGAAGATTAGGGCACATGCTGGTGTATTCTGTATGTTGCAAAGAGGATAAGAATATGCATGCCTGTCCCTTTGTATGTACATGAAGAAAAAGCAGAAAGGTAAATAAGCAATTAAGTGTTTACAGGAGTGGAGGAGGGAGGTAATGAAGTGGAAAAAGACGGGGGGGGGGGGAGATGGGAGTGAGACTTCTCAATGTTTATACCTTTTAAATATTAATTTGCAAACCACATGAATACTTTAACTTTTCAACGAAACAAAATTTTTTTTTAAGGGGGCTGATGAGACCACTAAAGGCTTTAAGGTCTATGCTGATGAGGGTGGGGGATGGATCGGGGGGAAGTTTGGTGTGAGCCAAGAATACAACACAAGAGGAGGAAAATCATACTTTCCCCCAGAGAGAGAGCCTAGCACTGCGCTCTCCCTTCTTTGTGATCACCCATGCATTAATTAAGTAAAATATTAAAAATCAATTTTATTGAGCGCTTGCTCTGTGCCAGGCACTAGAGCAGGTTAGACTTGATGATCTCTGGGTCCCTTTGGATAGAAACATGGAAAGTTCTTGGAGTAAACTCTGTCCTTCTCCCATGACAACTTGGGTCACTTTACCAGAATGCTTAGAGATCAGGCCAGTTCAGGGCCTACCATACCCCAGGCAGCAGGAACCAGTCTCAGCCCGCAGCTCAGGGCTGGACTGTGTAGGGGAAAACAGGTGAGCATGGTTCGTCCCTGAGACTTGGCAACAGGGGCCTTAGAAAAGGGGTGAGAAAGCATAGGGGGCTGGCATTCTCAATTCAAGTCACCAGGACACCTCCTGGATTAAGGAACATGCCTGGATTCACACTATGAAGCTATCACTCTTGACCCAGGGGAAGAAATGAGGACTTCAAATGCAAGGTCTTAGCAGCAAGTAGGATACTGTCCTAATATTCTGCCTGCTGTGCTCAGGACAATGGGAAATTCTAAGAGAGAGAGAACTGTACAAGCAAAGCGTGGACCTGGCTTAAGAGAGTTGGGACTGGGTTCAAATCCCCTCTCCCTCTCTTCCAAATGTGACTTTGGTACGTGCCTTAACCTCTCTTGTAAAGAGGAATGATAACCCCTAGCTTACAGGATGGTTGTGAGCCTCTAAGGGACATGGAAATACAAGAAAGCCCGACCCCACCGCCTAGGTGTTCCGATGAGTGTGTGGTTCCTTTAGGGGTCAATCCGCAAGAGCCGAGTGCTTGCAATGCTGGGGGTCTGCTCTACAGGTGAACGGGGGCGAAGCTGACCCTGCGGCAGGTTGGGCCGAGGGGCGGCGCCCGTCATGAGCTCTGTTCCCCTTCTTCCCTGACACACAGTCATGTGAGAGATGAGCTCGTGGACTTGACAGAGCCCGGGTTCCCCCAAGCCCCAGAAGCGAACTTGGAGCACAGAGGCTTCCTCCGGAAGGGCGGCCGAACCGACTTCCTTGACCCTCAACATCGGGGTCTGGAAGCCCAGCGCAGGCCCCGCCCGCCGGGTCCCCGCGCCGCCCCTGCCTACTCCCCGCGCTCCCACCCAAGGCAGAGGGTCCCATTCAGGCCTCGCGGGCTACCGTACCGGAAAGTGTCTTCGATCTCATTGATGGTTGTATCCTTCTCCACCACCAGGAAATTAGGCTGGCGGTTCTTGTTAAGCTCCCCTATGCCGCCCAGCAGGAAGCCAGTCACCGTGTCCTCGTCTCCGATCACCGCAATTAGCTTCCCCCTACCCGCCATTCTCGCAGGCAGGTCCGCGACGGCCCGAAGTCACCGAAGCCCCACCGAAGCCCCACCCCCGCAGTGCACCGCCTTTTCGCCCGCACCTCCACCCCTTAGACATGCGCAGTTCACCACTCCACCTCCCGGGACATGCGCATTAATAGTAAAACGGTCTCAATCTGAATACGCCTGCGCCATAAAGAGAGGCCCGAACCTGGGGACTACGATTCCCAGAAGTGCGCGCGGCACCACGGGCTCACGCAAGCGCGTTCCATCGCTCATTCAATAAACCTGTTGAGTCTCCTGCACAGAACTGGCCCACAATGGTCTCAAGTGGTTGGGTACTTAAGAGAATGGATCCTGCCTTCATTGGTTTTATCAGGTAGAGTAAGGAGCTGGGCACTCATTATTCAACCAGCGTTTATCAAATGTGGCCATGAGGGGGCTGAGGACACAAGACTGATCAAATGCGATTTCTTTCCTCAGGGAGCTCCCTGCAGGATGGGGAGGAAGGCAAACATAAGAGAGGCCCTGGAGGGGTCTTATGGGAGCAGGATTCAGAGCAAGGAGGGGGAAAGGGAAGAAGAAACTTAAAAAAGAGCGCAGAGGCAGATAGGCTACTGAGTAGAGGTGAGGAGGGTGGTCTTCTCTGACTGACCCACCACTATGTGCTGAAATGTCCGGGGGACAGGTCTAGAGTTGAGGGGTCAATTGAGTGAAATGCTTCTTTGCCCTGCTCTGGCTACTGAATTATTTATTCATGTGTCACACTTGTCTGTATTAGATCTTCCGGGGTCAGGGAGCTCAGGCTGGTAGGGGAGGAGGGTCTGTAGATACGAAGTCACAGATCAGTGTAGTAATGCAGAGAGGTGCCCTGGGGCAGTTTGGAACTGGGAGGCAGATCCAGGAGAGACAGGGAGGGAGCCAGAAAGATGAGGGGGGTGGAGAGGCAAGGGTGTTACCAGGCACAGGCCCAAATTGCAGCTTGGGTACCCAGGAAGCTAGAAGCTGTAAAGTGGGGTTGGAGTAGAGGGTGTGGTGGGGAGTGGGCACACTGTCTGATTCAGGACTTCTTTTTTTTTTTTTTTTTTTTTTAAGATTTTATTTATTTATTTGACAGAGAGAGACACAGCAAGAGAGGGAACACAAGCAGGGGGAGTGGGAGAGGGAGAAGCAGGCTTCCCGCGGAGCAGGGAGCCCGATGCGGGGCTCGATCCCAGGACCCTGAGATCATGACCTGAGCCAAAGGCAGACGCTTAACGACTGAGCCACCCAGGCGCCCCTGACTCAGGACTTCTTGCCTGAACTGGTGGGGGATGCTGGTGTGTGAACTTGGTGGCCTTGTTAGGAAGAGTAGACATTAGCCTGGAACCGGAGGGAGCTGCAGAAGGGCCCGAACCAGAGAGGGGCAAATTCCTTTCAATGTGAGCCTCTCAGGCTGCGGTGTGGAGGGTGGGTTTGAGAGAACTGGCTGGGACCAGGGAGGCGAAGTGACAAGGCTATAGGGCCAGGAAGACTAGTTCGGAGGTTGGTGACCAGGGAAGCTAAGGTGACTGGTAGGCCAGGGAGGCTAGTAAAAAGCTGATGGGCCAGGGGAACTAGTTAAGCACTGGTGGAACAGGAAGACTAGTTAAGAGATTGGTGGGCCAGGGAGGCTAAGTGAAGAAGCAGATGAGCCAGGGAAGCTAAGGGAAGAAGCTGGTGACCCAGGAAGACTAGTTAGGAGGCTGGCAAGCCATGGAGAATAGATAAGACGCTGACAGGCCAGGAAGACTAGTTCAGATGTTGGTGGCCAAGGAAGTCAAGTGAAGACACTGGTGGGCCAGGGAAACTAGTAGTGATGCTGATGGGCCAAGGAAACTAGTTTAGAAGCTGGTGGGCCTGCGGGACTAGTTAAGAACCCGGCAGACCAGGGAGAGTAGGGAAGAGGCTAGCAGGCCAGGGAGACTAGTTAAAGGCAGGGAGGCTAAGGGAAGAGGCTATAGGCCAGGGAGGCTTGTTCAGTCGTTAGTGGGTCAGCAAGGCTTAGGTGAAGAAGTGGCAGGCCAGGGAGGCTAACTGAAGAGGTTTGTTTTCCACGGAGACTAGTTAAGAGGCTGATGGGCCAGGGAGGCTAAGGGAAGAGACTGGTGGGCCAGGGAGGGTAAGTGAACAGGTTAGTTGGCCATGGAGACTAGTTAATCTGGCTGGCCAGGGAGGTTAAGTCTGGAGGCTGGCGGGCCCAGACTAGCTGAGAGGTTAGTAGCCAGGGAGGCCAAAGGAAGAGGCTGGTGGGTCAGGGAGGGTAAGCAAAGAGGCTGGTGGGCTAAAGAAACTAGTTAAGATGCTGATGGACCAAAAAGTCTAGTTTAGAAGCTGGTGGGCCAGGGCGCCTGGGTGGTTCAGTTGGTTAAGCGACTGCCTTCGGCTCAGGTCATGATCCTGGAGTCCCGGGATCGAGTCCCGCATGGGGCTCCCTGCTCAGCAGGGAGTCTGCTTCTCCCTCTGACCCTCACCCCTCTCATGCTCTCGCTCTCATTCTTTCTCTCAAATAAATTAAAAAAAAAAAAAAAAAAAAGAAGCTGGTGGGCCAGGGACTAGTAAAGAGGCTCATGGGCCAGGCATACTAGTTCAGAGGTTTGTGGGCCAGGGAGGCCATAGAAAGATGCTGGCAGGCTAGGGAGACTAGTGAATATGCTGTGGGACAAAAGGGCTAGTTTGCAAGCTGGTGAGCAAGGGACTTGTTAAAGGGCTGGCAGTTAGTTAAGCGGCTAGTGGGCAGGGAAACGAAGGGAGGAGGCTCGTGAACTAGGGAGGCTAAGGGAGAAGGTGGTGGGCCAGGGAGGCTGAGGGAAGAGGTGGTGGGCCTCTCTGAAGACTTGCCAGTGGCTGGAGGCCAGGGAGACTAATAGAAGAAGCAAGCATGCCAAGGAGGCTCAGTGAAGAGGCTGGTGGACCAGGGAGGCTCGGGTAAGGGGCTGCTGGGAAGTTAAGTGAAAAGGTTGTAGGGTCAGGGAGGCTAGTTCAGTGGTTTGTGAGCCAGGGAGGCTACATTCATCGAGAGGCTGGCTGGCCAGGGAGGCTAATTGAGGCGGTGGTGGGCCTAGGAGACTAGTTCAGAGGTCTGAGCCAGGGAGGCTGAATGAAGAGGCTGGTGGGCGGGCCACGGATGCTACCAGCAGATGCTTGTGGGCCAGGGAGACTAAGGGAAGAGCTCGGGCCAGGGTGACTGGTTAGGAGGCTGGTTTGGGTTGGGGTCCTGAGCAAGGTCAGAGCTGCTGATGGAACCGGAACGGGTCCAGATCTGACCCTGGACTTAACTGGATTGAAGGTTCCTGGGTTTGCATGGGGTTCCGCCTGTTTGCTGGGTGAGGAACATTTCCTGTTGGAGTCCGTGCTCACTGTTTTAAGGACCTAATTTGTTGAACATCTTTGAGATCAGGCTGAAGGGAAGTTGGCCTCCCAGGAGCCATAGGGCAGTCTTCCAGAACAGCGTGCACTTCCCTCTCCCACCCGCCAACTCTCTAGGAGTCTGAGGACTAATCCTGGAAGCCCCTGTCGTTGGTTCTTTCAAGTATTCCACCAAATCCCAGACCTCCCCAGACAGATGGTGGCCACCCATAGAAAGCACGTGCATGACAACAGCCAAGCCTCTGCGACAGGCCACACTTTATTTGGAGTTTTCCACGTAAGCGACTCCCGGCAGAGCCACATGATTTGTGCAAAAGTCCCCCCAGAAAGCTGGGCCTCGCAGTGTGTAAAAAAGGCCCCCCACGGGGCAGAGCTGTGCAACCGTAAAAAAAAAAAAAAAAGAGCGAGAGAGAGAGAGAGAGAAAGCAGTCCTCCAGGAAGCCTGGCTGGGCAGCTAGAAACCGCCCGGGGCCAGGCCACGTCCAGCGCTGCTGGGTCTGGGTCTGTTTTCTCCTCCGGTTGTGCTTTCTTCTCCAAGTCCTTAACGCTCTGGGGTTGTGGCCCCCAAGGGGCCAGACCCGGTCCTTAGCAGCAAGGTGGTCTGGCCGGCAGTGCGGTTTGAGGGTGACCTCTCTCACACACGCAGACACCCCCAAACACATGCTTCCCCGCTGGCCTCAGCCCCACCAGAAAACTCGGGGCTTCCCTGACCCCCTCCCGACCCCCAGCCCACCCTCGCGTCACACTGGCCAGGAGGAGCGCTGCCCTGAGACAGGTAAGGCCCCCCCAAGCCCTGGGGGCATGGCGGGGAGGCTGAGCCGCCCGTCCCACACCCCAGGGCGGGTGTTTGCGGTCTGATTCTGAGCGTGTGCATCTAGGTGTGGAATTTGTGTGTGTGTGCGCATGTGTGTGCGCGTGCACGGGCTGGCCGGAGGCAGGGGCCGAGGCTGGGGGAGGCGCTTCTGGGATTCAGGGCACATTGACTTTGAAGGGGCTTCCGGGGACACTTTCGTCGCCCCACTTGACAATGAGGATGTAGTCCCCTTTCTCCTTAACGGTGTAGGTGACGTTGTAAACCCGGTTCCCCATGTGCTTCACATAGACCTCCTCACAGGGGGTCTTGGGCCCGTGCACGCCTACCATCATCATGTTGGTGCCTGGAGAGGAGACAGAAGGGGCTGGGTCACCCCAGGGGCCCACAGCCCCTCGGGACCCCCCACCCCCTGTGTCCCTGTGCCCTTGCCCACCCTAGGAAACCACCCCTCTCCTCCCTCAGCATGCCTGCTTTGCTGCAGTCCACGGTGAAGGAGTTCTTCTGGCCCACAAAGGCCTGGGACAGCCCTGGGCCCCGTGTCACCACCTTGCTGGCATCTGAGGAGAACTTAGGGATGGAGCTGTAGCTGGAGCCACGGCTGGAGGATGACTTGGTCATGGTCTCCACCAGAACCGTGGATGTTTCGTGAAGGCTGTGGCCGCCAGACAGCCGGGGCCCTGAGGGACAGAGCAGGGTAAGCACGAGCTGGGGGAAGAGGCCTGCCTTCCCTAGGCTGCAGCCCTGGGCCCCCACACTGACAGCCCCTAACAGCGGGAGCCACGTCCCTTCCCCCCGCTGGGGCACCCGGCGTTCCCAGCGAGCCCGGCTGCGTGCACCAGCTTCCACTTGTCCTGAGGCCCTAGGTCTCAGATGGCTCCAGCCCTCGCCCTGGCTTGGTCTGGGAATCCAAGTCACAGGGTAAGAGTCTTGCTTTAAAAAGAACACGTATCCAACTAATCCTTCACGCTGCTTCCGAAAGGAAAGCATGCTAAGTATTTACTGAGCTTTGTCTTCTAGGAAGCAGAAACCTAGAAGCCAGGAGGGCAGAAGATTAAGCTAAAGCTTGGGAGCCATTGCAGGGAAAAGATTCATCAAGTGATGGGCAACAGTAAAGAGGAAAGAGTTGATTTTCAAAAATGATTCTCCGTGGCTGCACAGAATGGTGTGTGTGCGACCAGGCCCACTTATTCCTGGTAAGTTGCCCGTGGTTTTGGGGTCAGACTGTGACCCAATGTGAATGGCCACTGGAGTCCTCCAGGCCGGGCTGGAGGCATGCCCCCCACCCAGGGCACTCACCTGTGACCTTGGCCTTGAAGGGGCTGCCCACAATGTGCTGGGGACCACCGTACTTGATAGCAATGAGGTAGTTGCCAGGGGCCATGGGAGTGTAAGTGACCACATGGCCCTCAGGACACTCCCGACAGTCCAGCTGCACCTTGGAGGGGCCATCAATGGTGACCGACAAGGCCCCTGAGCCCGCGTTCAGGGTGTTGACGATGAACTCTGATGACACGCCTGGGGGTCAGAGGTAGCAAGGATGGGCTGTAGGCAGGAAGGGCTTGGGGCCCAGAGCTGGGCCGGGCCCCAGGCTCCCACAGCCGACCTTGGCAGGGACTCAGCCCTCCGGGCCAGGGCGGTACAGGACCAGAAGTTGAGCACCCCAATATCCACCCCTCTGCCCCAGCCACTCACCAGTAGTGCCTCCCTCAAGCCCAGGACCATAAGCTGACACCAAGCCTGGGTCCCCAGCCTGGCTCTGCTCCCCAACACGGATCTTGAAGGGACTGCCAGGGATGTGGGCACCATTGAACTTGACATCAATAGAGTGGACGCCGTTCTCATGGGGGATGAAGCGGATGGTGTGCTTATCTATGGGGCAGAGAGTTGGTGAGGGCCTTTGTTCTTCCCCTCCCCGTCCCCCAGCGGGGCCTGGTACGGGTGGGCAAGGCCAGGGCCAGCTCACCACTGTCCAGCTCAGAGACGTAGCACTCCTCCACCGCGCCCGAGGGCGTGTGCACGCGAGCATCGATCACGCCCCGGGCACCATTCAGCTGCACTGCAAAGGATGCCGGCTGGTTCACCTTGAGCCCCGTCTCCTGCAGAGGGCACAGAGGGTGCTCAGACTCCTGGGAAGGTCTGGAGCACTGCTCTCGCTGCCCGCCTAGCCTGGAGGCGCCCAGCTCAGGGAGGTAGTCAACAAGGCTCTGGGAGGTGGGGGGCAGGGCCTATGGCCTTGGCATCCACCTGCAGGGAGGCGGACCCACCCAGCTATGCTGGGCACGGTGGGGGATGAGACGATGTACCCCGTCCTGGCTGAGGAGGTAAGACTCACAGTATAAAGCAGGCCAGAGGCCCAGATGAGGAAGGAAGAGTGTGGCCTAGACTGGCCTGGGGGTGGGGGGGCTCCCTGGAGAAGGTGGGTCAATGGGAAGTACTGGAAGAAGCACAAGGAGGCCAGTTGGGGATGGGAGTGTGTGAAGATGATCCTGGGGGTGAAGCATGGCCCCCTGCTGTACAGATACTGGGGGGGACGGGGACTTCTGACTGTCCCTTCCAAGGTCACTGTTAAACCCTTGAACCCATGGACCTGCCTTCAGCTCCTGCCCATGTCTTAGGATGGCAGAGGGGCCCACCCCCGGGCACATACCTGGAGGCTGGTGACGGTGAGGCGGCGAGCGTCATCCGAGAGGGAGGCCACAGGCACCACAAAGGGACTGTCTGGTATGTGCTCATCGTTGAACTTGATGGAGACCTCATAGTCACCTGGGGAGGGAAGGCTGGTCAGCACAGGCCCCTGGGTGGGAGATGGGGGGGGTGGCACTACCCACCCGCCTCATCCCTGGACAGGCTCCTTGGGTCAGGGAGAGAGACTCACAGCCCCAGGGGTGTGGGGTGGAGGAAGATGGGGCAGAGAGCAAGCAGGGGCCCAGGTCAGGCAGGCCCAGGCTCCCCCTCCATCACGGACCCCTACCTGGTTCCTGGACAACATAGGAGACCCCACAGGAGCCATCTTTTCGGTCCTCAAATGCAATCTCCGCCTTGCTGGGACCCTCCACAGCAATGGACAGGCCCCCGGCACCTGCTTCTCGGGTCCAAATGCTGAACTCGGCTGGGGACAGGGAAGCAGGGCAGAGACAGCTCTTCAGCACCACTGCCCATCCCCCCGGCCGCCCTGCCTCCACCCCCCTCGCCTGGCACCTGCCCCTCACCTGGCACGCCAGCCACCCCTCGCTCCAGGCCTGTGCCTCCAGCCCTCACTTTGTGGGCACCGCCTTCACCCAGTGGCCCCACAGTGAACTGAAAGGGGCTGCCAGGCACGTGCTGGCCGCGGTACTTGACCGTGACTGTGTGGGGCCCCATCTCCTGGGGCACGAAGCGCACGCTGTACGCGCTGTCTTCTCCCTCGACAATCTCTGCGGCTTCCATCTTGCCCGACGGGCTGGTCACCTGTGCGGTCATGTCCTGAGAGCTGGCCTCACCTGCAAGGAGTGGGGAGTGTCAGGGTGACACTGGGGCCGCTCCCAGCCTTGGACCTCCCCTCCCTCCTCAGTGAAACCTCTTCCTCTGCCCAGAACACCCGCGGCCGGCCGCCTGCGGCCTCCCCCCGTCCTGTCCCCAGGGGACGGAAGGCCCAGCGCAGCCATGCCTACCCTCCTGCCGGGCGATGCTGCCGAAGGAGCCCAGGCGCTCCCGGCCCAGGAAGTCCCCGAAGACGGCGGGGAAGGGGTCTCCGCCGACCTGGGTGGACTCCTCCACCCGCACCTCGCGCTTGGTCTCCCCGCCCCGCGTCTTGCTGATCTCCGTGCGCTCCGTGCGGGTGTACGTGTGGCTGCTACGGGTGAAGGTGCGCGTCAGGCGCTCCTGGGCAGACACCATCTGGAACCAGTTCCCTGGGGGACACAGAGCAGCAGAGGTGAGTGGGCCAGGCCCACCGGCCGCCCCAGAGCCCTGCCCAGGCCCTTCCGGGGTCACACCTGGGATCTTGAGGTTGAGGTCACAGGTGCTGCCGATGGTGGCGATGGCGGGCGCCTGTCTGCGTCGGGTGATGCTCTCCTTCATGCGACCTTCGCCGGTGACCTTCACAGTGAACGGGCTTCCTGGGAGGGGAGGGGAGGGGAGGGGAGGGGAGGGGGTGATCAGGCAGCTCCGACCACCGCCTCGCAGCCTCTCCCTGCCCAGCGGTGGCCCAAAGCTTACCAGGCACGTGCTTGTCAGCAAATTTGATGTTGATGATGTAGGTGCCAGGCTCAGTGGGGCAGTAGGTGACTTTGCACGTGCCGTCCTCCATGTCCTCACAGTTGATGTCCACCTTGCTAGGGCCTTCAATACTCAGCCCCAGGCCCCCGTAACCTGGCAGGACACCAAGGACACACCCCCTCTCAGGCCCTGCCACTCTGCTGTGCCCTCCCCACGCTCCAGGCTCTGTCTGGAACAGGTGCCCAGCATGGGTAATAACCACCGAGGACAGTGGGCTCTGCGGGAGGAGGGGTGAGCCAGGCGCCGAGCCAGGGGGCTGGGGATGGGGCAGTGTCGGGAAGTCCCTCAGGTGGGCCTCTCAGGTTCCAGTGAGTGAGGGAGAGTCCGAAACTCAGGACAGCTGGGCTTTCTCAAATTTGAGAGACGTGACACGGAACATGCACTACCCCCCCAAATGGACCCCAGAATGTGAATCCCCACAGAGACTGGGCCAGGAAGTTCAGGGAGGAGGAAATGACGAAGGGGCCCTGGGCGAGAAAGTTCAAGTCCTCCTTAGAAACACCAGCTGAGTGGGGAGTGGGGGCGGGGGTCCCTGGGGCGAGAAGCACCTGCATTGCGAGTGTCCACGATGAACTCCGCCACCTGGAAGGTCTGTCCCTCGGACAGGCCCTTGCCCCAGACGCGCACCTTGCTGGCGTCCCCGATCTCAGACGGCCCCACCAGGATCTTGAAGGGGCTGTTGGTGACGTGCTTGCCGCTCTTGCGCACGCTTACCACGTGCTCCCCGACTTCCTTGGGGGTGAAGGAGATGCCTGTGGAGAGGGGGTGGTCAGGCACGGGGCCCTGCGCCTGGCAGAGCCCCCCTCCTGACTCCTGTCAGGCCTTCCTCCTCCCCCTCGGCCCCTCCCCTCGGCCCCGCACTCACCAATGTGGCGGTTGGGCAGGCGCTTTAATAGGCAGGGCTCCTCGTTGCCCGAGGGGGCACGGATGCTGGCGGTCAGCAGGCTCAGGTCACTCTCGGTGATCTTCAGTGACACGTCCGTGGAGGTGCCCACGTTCAGCTGTGACGTGCGCATTGAATCATCACCTGGTGGAGGAGTTTGACGTGTCAGACAGGATACCAGGCAGGCCATGTCCTCGGGTTCAGGAGACCTCCTAGCTGGACTCGCGAGCTGGGACCACTCAGGGCAGAGAGGCCCAAGGCCCACGAGAGCATGGCCTTCAGTCACACGTTGGCTGCCAAAGATGACAGATGGGCCCACTACCCCAGCTGCCCCATGGGTGCCTCAGGCCTGAATGGGCGCAATCCCTAATCTGTGTATTTTAATTGCAAGTCACGTGGTTTCGTGGAACCAAAACACTAGACTGGAGCAGATAGCACCGACCCTTTGCCTGCCATGTGGTTCTGATCAAGTTGCTCAGCCTCTCTGGGCCTCCTGATCTACCAAAAGAGATGATCGGTACCCTAACTTCACAAGAGTTACATCAGTGACTAAATGAGGTGAGGTGTTTGAAAGCATGGGGGGGGGGGTGGATACTCCTCACGTGTTCTAAGGAATGGAGTGTTCCTTGGATTTGTCCACAGATGACCGCTTTCACCCGGAGGGGCGCGAACCCTAATGCCCTGGGTTACTCGGACATGCTGGGCTTCCCCACCCGGCTCGTGCTGGGGCTTGTACTGTAGGCTCATGTGCCCACCCCCACCCCACCTGTGATCTTGGCCGTGAAGGGGCTTCCGGGGATGTGCTTGTCATCAAAGCGCACGATGATGCTGTAGTCTCCGGGCGCCGTGGGCAGGTAGGACACAGTGCAGGTGCTGTCCTTGTTGTCCTTGCAGGTGATCTCGGCCTTGGACGGGCCCTCCACGGCCAGGGACAGACCTCCTGAAGGGGGAGGGGGCTGAGATCAGAGGTCCTGCCCTCCTCCTCCCCCAGCCCTCTGCCTCCAGCTCCCCGCACCTTCTCCAGCGTCCTTGGTGACAATGGTGAAGGTGGCCGGCTTGTTGACCATGCCGTGGCTCAGGCCTGGCCCGTAGGCACTGACGTGGCGGCTATCAATGGCATCCACGTAGAACTGCAGGGGGCTTCCTGAAGGAGACAGACAGAAGGGCCTGTGTGAGCAGGGCTCCCTGTACGTTCCTGCAGCTTCCCTGTCTGTCACAGGGCCTGACTGATGGCAGTCTGCCCCCCCAGGGGCTGGCACGTCTCTGCATACAGCCGCTGCTCCGTGAATATTTGTTGAAAGAAAGCAGGCAAGAACGAAGCCACTGTGGGCCTCTCTGAGCCCGGCCCCGACTTACCAGGGATGTGGTTGCCGTCGTACTTGATCCCCATCTGGTGCAGGCCTTTCTCGGTGGGCGCGTACCTCACCGTGATGGTGCCGTCCTTGTTGTCGGTGATGTTGGGCCGGGCCGTTTTCCCGGAGGGCATCCGTACCTCCCCTGCGGGGTAGCAGAGTTAGGTAGGGGACCCTGCTTTTCTCCTGCTGCCCCGGGAGACAGCCAGAGCAGCGAGCCGAAGCCTGCACTGGGGCAGAGAAGGCTTGAGTCTGAGTTCCAGCTCTGCCCAACTTGGCTGGGTGACCCTGGGTAGCTAGCTTCCCCTCTCTGGGCCTGGAAGAGGTTCTCCCCCCCTCCCCAGCCCTCCTGCCTCAGGGCCCCAGGACCGTACCGGTGAGTGCCCCTTTCTGCACGGTGAAGGGGATGACCAGGTTGAAGGGCCTCAGCATGGACTCCATTGGCTCTGCGGGCACCACCGGCTCTTCCGTGGCCTGCGGCAGGGGAGAGGAACAGTCATTAGCTGGGGAAGGTCTGGGGAGCTTGGCCTGAGTCCCAGCGTAAGTCCGAGAAAGTGAGGAGAGAACAAGATGGTTAATGATGAAACCAGAGCGGCAGGAGAGGCGTGGCAACTGCAAGAGAAGAGGTGCCGTGCTCAGCCCCGGGACCCATCTGCCCAGCCTCATGCCCGCCTGCTCCCCAAGATGGCCCCAAACCATGCCCCAGCCCTGGCCACGGAGGACTAGAAGGAGGAAATGAAGGAGCAGGAGGAGGGCGCGGCGCGGCCCCTGCGGGAGGCGGCAGTACCCAGGGCGCGGGGTAGGTGCTAGGCCGACGCAGCTGCAGCACGTCAGAGGGCTCCTCCACGTGGGCCATGCGGTCACACGCCTGGGGGCGAGGCATGGAGAGCACGGGCTGTGGCAGGCCGGAGCGCTCCAGAGCCCACTCTGACAATGGCCCGGGGACCTCAGGTCTTGGGCTGCCCTCGGGGCGGGATGGCTATCTTGCGAGCTTTGCCCTCTGGAGGGCTTCATCGCCCCACAGGGCCACCTTGGGGGCATGGCTAGGGACTGTGGGCCCGAGGGTCGGAGAACTACATGACCAGCTCCTCCAAAGAGATCTGACCGACCACCGGAGAGGCCAGAAACAAGGGCTGTGCTCAACTCCCAAGCTGGGAAGCCGTGGGGACCCGAAGGCTTGACTCCAGAATCCATCAGACGTGGGGGCGGGTTCTGGGCTTTCTCGCTGCTGCTAACAGGGCCCGTCTCCCCAGCCACCGTCCAGGGCCTTGGAGCTTACCAGCACGTGGAAGGGGCTGTTGGGGATGTGCTCGCCTCCAAAGCGGATCGTGATGACGTACTTGCCCGGCTCGGGCGCTGTGTAGTAGATGTCAAAGGTACCATCGTGGTTCTCGACCACGTCCACGTCGAGCTCCGCCCCATCCGGCGTGGACACTGTGCATGTCACCTTGCCTTTGCCTGCCGCCTTGGCATCCACCGTGATCACGGTCTCCTCCCCGATCTGGATGCGGGGTCCTAGGCAGGCACCTGCCACCCAGGAGAGCCAGGTTGAGGGTCTTGGGCGGGGGGTGCTGTGCCCAGTCCCTCTCCATTCCCAGCTGCCCTCACCACCTCGGCCCACAGCAAGAAGAGAAAGGGCACTCACCCAGGCCATGGCCTCCAATGGACACTGGAAACAGAGAAGAGTGTGAGGCCATACGGCCGTGGGGGGCAGGGGGCGGGGGGGGGGGGTGGGTCAGGTGGGCTTGCTGACCGGCAGTCCCCTAGGGACTGGGCCAGGGACCTGGAAGAGCTGTGAGGGGGACTCGACAGCGAGCAGGGGCAGAGGACGTGGAGAGCGCACCCACCTGTGACAAGACACTTGCTGGCATCCCCGGTGGGCAGGGCATGGATGCGGAAGGGCGAGTAGGGGATCTCGTCGCCGCCGTACTTGATGGTGATGGTATACCGGCCACTCATGTCTGGCAGGTAGGACACGGTGTACGTGCCATCCCCGTTGTCTCGGATGTTGGCCTTCTTGGGCTTTCCCTCAGGGTCCTGGGAGAGATGCAGAGGTCAGGGTCTGCCTGTGCCCGGAGCCTGACCAGGGAGATGGGCTCCACAGCACGGACTCACCAGGATCTGGACGGTGAGCAAACCCTCCCCGGCATCCCGCGCGTCAATGGTGAACTCCACGGGCAGGCTGGCGGGGATGCCGGAGGCGTTGAGGCCGGGGCCACTGGCCCGCACCTTGCTGGCATCGTGGGCAGGAAGCACCTTGATCTTGAAGGGGCTTGAGGGGCAGAAAGAATGGACAGTTGGCTGGGGTCTCGGGGGAGTCCTCCCCACAGACATAAGGAGGGAGGATTCTGTGGGGCAGGGAAGAGGAACAGACCACATCCTGAGTTTTGTGGGAGGGCTGCTCGATGGCCGGGATGGAGCCTGAGCATTTCTGCATTCCGCAGCAAGACGCTGTGGTTGGTTTAAAGAGGAGGGTGCAGCAGGCTGCCTTCTCCCCCCTCCCCACCGGCCTTCTCCCAAGGCACTAATTGTGCAGCTACGCGGTGGGAGAGCCCGGCCCAAGGAGAGCCCCCGGAGCTGTGCTGCCCCTCTGTGGCGACAGGCAGGGAGCCCCAAGGAAGAGCAGGCTGGGCTGGCTGAGACCGAGGCCAGAGGAGGCCAAGACAGGTGGAAGGGGCACCCCCAGGGCCCTGGCAGGGGCCTGTAGGTGTGGCCCTGGGAGAAGTGGGTTTGGCCACGGCATGGGAGCCCCAAAGTAGTTCTCACCTGCGTGGCACCTCCTGGTCGGCATACTTGACGGCTACCGTGTAGGGCCCATCGGTGGCTGGGGTGTAGTGGACAGTGTGGGTGCCACCTCCATTGTCTAGCACCTCCACGGGCTCGGCCACACCTGGGCAAGGGGGGCAGGGTCAGCAGAGCCTCCTGGCGCCCCGTCCTCCCGCCCCTCCTTCCACCCTGCCCCGGACATTCTGTACCTGTGGGGCCCAGCACGGCCACATGCAGCGGGGCTCGGCCGGCTTGGCTGCAGTCCACGGTGAAGGTCTGGGGCACCCGGGCCCTGACACCAGCCCCCAGCCCTGGCCCCGAGCACTTCACCTTCCCAGGGTCCACCACATCCTTCACCGGCACCCGGAATGGGCTCCCTGCGAGGAGAAGGACATCAGCCCCTACCCACCTGCCAGGGAAGATCTCGGACACTGAGGAAGCCGGTAGAAGGAGGTCTTCCCTGCCTCTGAAGCACCCGAGGGAGGCCAGACCAACTTATGCAAATGCTTAAGAACTTGCTAAGAAATTGTAAACAGGGATAGATAAACTTGGCTGTAGACCGAGGCTGGGCAGGCCTGGAAGAAGTCCTTCCTAAATAAAATGCTAAAAACTGATTTTAAAAAAAAAATCCACTTTGGGGGCACCTAGGTGGTTCAGATAGTTAAGCATCTGCCTTCGGCTCAGGTCGTGATCTCCAGGTCCTGGGATCGAGCCTCATGTCAGGCTCCCAGCTCAGCGGGAAGTCTGCTTCTCCCTCTCCCCTGCTCATGTTCTCTCTCTCTCGGTCTCAAATGAATAAATAAAATCTTTAAAAAATAATAAAACCCACTTTTGACCGTGTGAAATTAGAAAAGGGGGGGGGGGCGCCTGGGTGGCTCAGTTGGTTAAGCGACTGCCTTCGGCTCAGGTCATGATCCTGGAGTCCCGGGATCGAGTCCCGCATCGGGCTCCCTGCTCGGCAGGGAGTCTGCTTCTCCCTCTGACCCTCTTCCCTCTCATGCTCTCTGTCTCTCATTCTCTGTCTCAAATAAATAAATAAAATCTTTAAAAAAAAAAAAGAAAAGGTGGGGGAAAATGTCCAATTGCAGCATGCCCGAGCACTGCAGTCACGAAGGCGGGACCCGCGGAGGCAGCCAGCCCTGCGGGGAGCAGGGCCTGCTTTGCAGACAGAGCGAGAAGGCGTGAGGCCACCGGCGCTGAGCCAGGCACGCGGACTGTGTCTGAGCACCGGACCCAGGAGGTCTGGCCTGTAGGATGCCAGCTCCGGGCCTGGCAGAAGGAACTGGAGGGGCTGTGGGGTCAACAGCAAGCCCCGCCCTGCCTCTTGGCTGTGGCCCCAACATCCTCGGCTGCCTCCCCGAGCCACCCACCATCCTCCGCACGCACCTGGGATGGGCCGCCCCCCAAAGGTGATGTTGACGTCGTAGTCTCCGGGTGTGAAGGGGATGTACTCCACGGTACAGCTGCCGTCTTTGTTGTCCTTGCAGGACATCTTGGCTTCCGAGGGGCCCTCGATGGCTAGGCCTAGGCCTCCAGTGC